CACGACTGGTGATTTAATATTCCTGGACCTACCGTTGTAACAAATTGTTGTGAATTTTGGGTCAAGGAAAATCTAAGTTTTTCGTTCGTTAGTTTTCATTAAACTATCGTTCAAGTTGAGTTAGTGTTCAACTATTTCAATTGCTACCACATAATCAAGTTAGATATTTACATGTATTCAAGCATCAAAGTGTATATTAAATCCATATATCTTGTACTATGGATTTAATGGATTTATTTCGACCTTTAGACTCCTTGAGTGTTCTTTTAGCCTTCTCAACATGATTTCTCGCTAAATCCGTGAAGAATTCAGGATGTATCGATTCGGTTGAAATGTGGGCCCAGTTTCATATCGGTTTTGATGGGAACATTAGGAGCATAATCTTTTCACAAACTTACCAAACTTATCAGAAAGAATTCCGGATGGCCTTGAGGATTGTGCAGTATTTTAGTAAAGAATTGGTGAAGGTGGAACTGTAGGTTCTGAACTTGGTGATTAGGGGGCCAGTTTTTATGTCTAGCTCGAAACGGCAACTGTTATTCAAAGGAAGTGGTCAAAGTTATGGTTCATCTAATTTGGGTTTTCAATCTTGTACCCCTCGATCAAGAGAGCGACTGTTGTGGTTAATCATGAAAGAAATGTTTTATGACAAGTGTTCGTTTACGCACATCTTCTAACTATCTAAGACCTTGTTCTTCACGTGTACGTGGATGTCAAAACACTTCTTACAACTCTGATTACTGCGCTTTGGGGTAGTGCATGAGCGCGATCGAGGCATAAATCGGACGATCTATAAACCTTCTCACACTGAGGGGCAAAATGGTATTTTGGCACCCTCGGGAACTTCTTACTTGCTTATTGAGACAACAATGAGTTATCAGCATTACGGGCTGCAGACTATAATATCGGTGGCTTATTTGTTACGTTCTTTAAGCAAGTGGGCAAGTCGGCCTGTTTACGACAATAGTTACTAATTAGTTATGGTTAGGACTCAACTCAAGACACACACATATATTCTCGGAGTACGTGACGTTACAAATGCTTGAGCAAGACCCGTTTTCATTTTCGGTTTTCATTTTCAGTTCAAATATTTTAAATTACGTTATTATATTTATATATGTATTTTTGCCATTACAAATTTTGGGTGAATTATTTGTACTTTCATTTTAAATTCAGTACAAGTATTTGAATCCTACGCTGTTATATATTTATTTTTGACATTTTGATGTCATCTTATTATACATACATATTTTGACCTTATGTTATTACATAATTATACATATTTTTGACTTTATAGTTTTTATTTAAGTTTTATACTATACTCTTATATCGTAAGAGAAAGACGGTATGAGCTTGGAGCCATGAAAGACGAATCATTGCAATCCGGTCGTGATAGAATGACATTCTCTTTTATGCAACTGCTCTAATTTGATTTCTTCCTTGTATATATATTTTCTCCCTATTTTCGAGTATTTTACTTATAGCAAGTTATTTAAAATTTCGGAGACGAAATTTTCTTAACGGGGGTAGATTGTAACGACATGTCCCCAAATATTACGGGTTTACGAATCCGAAAGATTTGTTTAATTTTTGAAATTATTATTTTATATTATTTTATTATTTAAATTATTTTATGAGATATTTATATATTTTAAATTATTTATAATTATTTTCTGATCATGGGGCCCACACGCACACAAAGCCTCATCTCACTTCTTGCCACGCGTCATTCCCTTCTAGAGCTCTCAAACCTCTCTCTTATCTCTCCCTTCTCCCGGTTCTCTTTCTCAGTTATCTCTCTCTTTCTATGTAAATAAAGCATGCGCATCATCGCCGGACTACCTTGCCACTCCGACAAGCTCCACACCACACCACAATCTTCCTCACTCTATACTCAGAATCGACGACGAGTTACGAACCCTGACAGTGGCAGAGGCTAATGTACTTTTCTCCCCCGTTGAACTTCAGCAACATGTGGACTTTTTCGAAGAAGTAGGGACCGTGCACCCTCAAATCACTTCATTATCATCATTTTAGAGTACGATTAGGCTAATTTTGAGTTGTTTTGGTGACGTTTGGGCGCAGGAATCAATGCGTGGGAAATTCTCTAGTTTTCGACGATAAACCCGACGGCTTTCGAGCCATTTTCTGATTAACTCCGACCATGACCTGACCTATTGCTGGTATATTTCTCTTCCTCTCCTCTTAAGCTTCAATTCCATATATTATAAGCTAGGTTTAGTTAAGTTTTGAACCAAATCGGAGTCAGAGAAGTTCCCCGACCAAAAATTCGGCCTTCTCTTTTATTGGGTCTGGCAACCTGCGAGCCCAACTGAGTCGACCCAACCCGCAACCTAGCTTAGTGATCTGGTCCAACCCAACAACCCAGTTAACTTGGCCCAACCCAACAATCTAGGAACTAGGCTAACTCAGCAACCCGGCCTAACCAACGACTCGTTGACCCGACCCAGATGGAATATTCTCCAGAATATTCCAAGATATTCATTGGAATATTCTCTGGAATATTCCTTGAATTAACTTCTATGAAATTTTCTCAGGAACCTTCCTAAACTAATTTTGATGCCTCGAGTCCATTTTTGACATCCGTTTAGTGAAATTCCGAAGTCTTAACGTAGTTGACCGACTCGGTGTCTCGGTTGACTTTTTATGAAATTTGCTTGGGACTCCTCTTAGGGTAGTTTGACGCCCTGATTCCAAATTTGCTTTCCATTTTTCAAAATTCAATCATTATAGTAGGGTTTTACTGATTGGTCCTATTATGCTTAGTACAATTACTATCGAAGACTCCGGATTTCCTAGTTCGGACGGCTACGACCTCACAACTATTTAAATTGCATGATTTTTATTAAATACTAGGATTGCATTCATGAAAAGCGTGATTTCCAGATTTTACGTTGCATGAAATATATTTATGATTTATCGAATTTATGTTTTATGAAAGGTTATGAATTATTGGATTTTCGTATATGAAATTCTATGGATTTAAGAATATGATTTATTCTGGATTTATGAGATGAGGCTTTGAGTTTTTGAGCTCTGGTGAGTTGATATGAGCTTTTGAGATACGTTTTCTATGTTTTTCTAGTGGGTTATCATACAGCACATACACACAACTTGAGTATGTATACGTCTATGGCCATATGACACAGTTGAGGTATGACATATTCTCAGCTTCATAGGCGAAACCAGTGTCAGACAGCTTCATTAGCCATGGCTAGTGTCGGTGTGTTATGTTTATGGTCATATTTACTTCTCTGGCGTAACTTAGAGTCGTACAACTTTACTTTCGGGGGATGGGACTTACCATTTCTTCACTGGCATAACCCAATGTCGTACAGCTTCACTTTCGAGTGATGATTATGCATTCGGGTGACTATGATACCCCTAGTTGAGTACTTCACTGATTTTATTCACGAGATTATTTGGACTTGCCTTCGGGCATTTCGATATTACTTTTAGAGATTGTTTTATTGCTACAAGTAATTCTTTTTGGCATGTTAGAGTTTTCAGAAAAAAACTACTATGTAGTATTATATGAGTTTTCAAAACAGGAGGTTAGTATGTTTAGAAGGAAAACGGTTTTCTTCTGTTATTAGCACTTCCGTATAGGTATCTTCGTGTCTTCTCAGTGTAGGACACATTCCTTTATTCTTACCTTTTTATAGTAATTCTTTCACATTATTCTTGATTAGTTATATGCTCTGACCACGTTTCCATATTTGCTTATTTCATTATATTTACATATTTTATTTACTTTCGTTTATTGATACCACTTGCATGCATGTTAAAATGGCTTTGTCACCCTCGGGTGTCGCCCAGCACGTTTTGATGAGTTAAGGGACCAATGATTATGAATTTGGGACCAATGATCATGAATTTAGGTGTCGGCCAACACATTTACTGGTATTTGGGGATATCGGGGTTGGGGCGTGTCAAATGATCATTCCAACATGACTCAATTTGACAGAGTTGATGAAAATGATCATAGTTGCATGTTTTGATGAGTTAAGGGACCAATGATCATGAATTTTTAGTTAAGGACCAATGCTCCAATTGGATTAAAATTGAGAGACTATTTGTACAATTTTCTCTTGAAATTTCAATACCGGAATATTTTGTTGAGTGAGAATTTTATGTGAATGTACAACTAAAATTAACCTTAATGTCAATCGTGAAATAAAATTGATTAAAAATGTAGCCACTTAGTCATAATTTTTCAGACAACTTGACTAAGCTCGAGGTTACATAATTAAGATCTTAAAATATAAAATAAAATACCTCAAGTCCCAGTGGTTCTTGTCTATGATATCAATATCCCCACTGTGAATGGTGACTTATTCAATATTATAAGCTACACTCAAGTCAAATTCTTTCCTCCTCGTTTCCTTGATTCCTTCCCCTCACTAAACCATCAACTCTTTAGGGCTACCTAACTACTTGACAACTACACTCATTACAGTCTCTAAACATAACATTATGTTTGGATGAGGGAAATAAACTCAAAATTTGGTTAAAAGTCAAAATTTGTAAATTGACATGCATCGATTCCCAAGTTTAAATTCCGTGTGGAAAAAAAACTTGGAATTTGAGACCTTCAATTCCCAAGTTTAAATTCCATGTAGATATGTATTATTTTTCAATTTCTATGATTGAAGGTTTAAAAATAATAAATTCCGTATTCAATTCCATTGTTCTTTTAGGTTAACCAATGACACGCCCCAACCTTGATATTTCCTGAATACCAGGATAGACACGTGCTGGCCGACACCCGAGGGTGACGAAAGCCATTAATTGATACAAAAGCTGAGAATAAGAAATAAATAAGGGTTATGAAATTTAAATACTATGAATTAATAATTTAAGGAACGTGCTCAGAGCATACAACTAAACCTAATCACTAAAAAGAATTAAGATAAAATTTAATGAATAAAGGAGTGAGTCCTACATCGAGAGGATCCGAGATGCTGCTGCAGAAGTGCCTTCACGCCGGGATTAGGTGTCTTGATTCTAAGTCCTGAATGGGGGCACAAAACAAAGGTGAGTGGATCAAGTTCGTATATATATATATATATATATATAATAATAAAACAGTTATTAAGATACTAACCTCCACAGTTTATATAAATGAAAACTACTGGCATAATAAGTGATGGATTTAAAACAAAATCCTAGCATGCCAAAATATCTCAAAAGTCACATCGCGGAAACGCATTGCGGAAATCAAAACAGTAATCACATCGTAAATCGTCTCGTAAACGTGGTGTGCTGCTAGTAAGATCACCGAATAAATATAACTCCCGGCCCAATGCCTGCTCCGTGGTCTCTGCGCCCGTAGCCAGAGATTACCAACTACCGGCCCAATACCTGCTCCATGTCCCTCAGCCCGTAGCTAGGGATTATTTCTCCCGGCCTAAATGCCAACACCAGTTCCTCGCCCCAGGCGGCATAGTGTCTACTAGGTACGTACAAATATTTACACATCTCATAAATAACCACTTCATAGCATAGATTACCGATCATCCACACTATAAAGAGGGGTTCAAAAACATGTTCTAGCATCCTATCGTCATCTATCAGATAGTCTACTAGTTCATAGTTTTTATAGAAATACGATATATTAAAATATAGCTCAATATAGGCTAACAATTAATTCCTCACCAAAACACAAGACGAAAATCAATATATTTAATCAACAGGCTTCATATAAATCAAATTATAAATTCGTAGGCATGCTAATCATTTATGCAATTAAATTATAAAGTCATGTAATTTCAGAAGGGGTCCCCTCACAAATATTTCTTAGCAGAAGAATCGCGCGAATCAGGATTACGAATTTCCTTAATAGCAACTTTACCTAAGCACAAAAATATAATTAATAAATAAAAGGATTTTCTAAAAGATTGGGTTTGAATTAAATAAAATAAGGGATTTGGGATTGGATGGGTTTAGGGTTTTAAAAGATTTTAGGAACCTAAGGTTTTTGGGTTAAAAGGGTATTAGGGTGAGAATTGGGGTTTGGGCTTTAGCCCAAACACACACACACACTACAAATACACACACACACACACACGGCATGCATGTGCATGCACATATACACACGCACACCCACCACAATTAAACACACACACACACACACTTCACACAACACACACACGGGACAAGGCCTTAAGGCCTCACAAAAACAACAGGGCTTTAAGCCCTTTGAATTAAATCGGCCCAAGGCCTTTGGGGGGTTTTAAAAACAACAAGGACAAAATTAAAAAAACTAAAGGGGCTGGGGGGTTTAACGGGCTTAAAGCCCAAGGGGAAAGGAAAGGGGAGGCCGGCTGGCCTGGTTTTGCCGAGAGAGAGAAGGCCGGAGCTGCTACAGCTCCGGTCACCGGAAAACATGGGTTCTAGACCCCGATCTAGGTATAAACATGAAGAACAAAGAGAGAGAAAGAGGTTTCTACCTTCCAAAAACCATAACTCGGTCGGAGGTGACCGGAAAAAGCTCCCAAAGTCCACGGTTCGCCGGAAAATGGGTGTGCTCACCCACAATGATTTCCGAAGCAAAATCTACGTAAAAATGGAAGGTTCAAGCTTCTAAATCGCAACCAAACATCAAGGTAACTGCGAGAATGAGAGATTTGTGATTTACCTCAACGAAAAGAAAGAAAATGCTCGCCGGAGCTTAGCTCCGTGTCGTTGAACTCGCAGGGCAGGGTCCCTGGGCTCGTGGTGAGCCTCTCTGATGGTGACTCGGTCCTAGTGAGTCCACGGGAAAAGGGATACGTGGTTGAGGGATAGAGAGATATACGGAAGAGTTGAGAGAGAGGGAGACCGGGAAACATAAAAATAAAACAAGTGGGCCCCACGGGCTCACCAATTAAGGACTAAACAAATTTTAAAATATAAAAAGGGGTTGGGGTGTTTCAACCAAACAAAAAAATTCACAAATTTTAGAAAATAAAATTTCGTCATTTTAAAATTCCTTCGTAAAATTAAATTTCTTCATCATGCAAAAGTAAACAAGATTTATGAGACATGATTGGATTCTAATATTTTGATCAACAACTAGCCTAGCCACATGATTAGATGCTCCCTTCACATTATCTTTGATTAATATAATATATCGATGTAACTTATTTCTTTGTTTTGTATTGGTAGGTGGACTTCAGCCAAAGCTGACCCTTTTTTTGGCAACATTCCAAGCTCCCCCTTGAAGATGCATCTCAGTTCCCTAAATTACAACAAACAATGCTTTTGAATTTTAAAGCGATCATGGTTAAAAAAACAATCTGGATTCTAGTTCCAGAGCATCGTCATGTCTCAGCGATTAGCAGTAACGTCCTTGTCCCAACAGTGTATACATATACTGAAAATATTAATCTAGTTACCTCAGTCATCTACCAGAACCATGCACTTAAACTTGGCATGAAATTATCAGGCTCCCTGTAAATTTAAAGTCCCAAATAGTAAACTTAATAATAATATGGAGGTAAATGTATAATTAAGATTTATGAGACAGCTCATTAAGGGTTGATACATGTGGTTGCAGCTTGCAAGTTATTGCAAAATATCAATGTTATTTTATTTATTTATTTTTTATCAAACGATAAATTTTGTTAAATTAGATATTATATTAATCATCGACGAAGTTCAAATTCACGCCGTTACGTAAGGACTCGACACTTTCCCCCACACTGTAAAGAGGCACATGCTCAATCTTATTTTATTTGAATTGTAGTGGACTTTAGGCCAAGTTGACCGTTTCTTTATGGGAACATTCCGAGATGCCCCCTTGAAGATGCATCTCCTTTTCCTTCACCGAGGCAACTCTTCCTTTCGGATCATTTTCCAGAGAGAACCGTGAAGGAGTTCAGTCGTTGAGCATCCATCTAATCCAACGTCATCTTGAAAGTCGATCTTGTTCTTCTCAATGGCTTATTCTCCGTCTTCTTCATCTGTTCTCGATTGGAAATATGATGTCTTCCTCAATTTTAGAGGCGAAGACACTCGGAAGACCTTCATCGGCCATCTGTACAAAGCTCTAGTTCACAAGTCAGTCAACACCTTCGTTGACGCTGAAGAGCTCAGAACAGGCAACGACCTTTCGCAACTACTGACAGCTATTAGCGAGTCAAGGCTTTCGATTGTAGTTTTTTCTCAAAACTACGCTTCTTCCACATGGTGCTTGAAAGAACTCGTCCAGATCCTGCATTGCATGGATCAGAAGCACCAGATTGTGATCCCCGTTTTCTATGAAGTAGATCCTTCTCATGTTCGTAAACTTGAGGGAAGTTTTGGGGAAGCTTTTTCTAAGCACGAACATGATCCCAACGCTGACATGGAAGAGGTTCAGCACTGGAGGTCCGCTCTACAAAGAGCTCCCAATTTATCAGGCTGGGATTCACGAAATTACCAGTAACTCTCACCCCTTCATAATCTTATTAACTTACTAGTTTAGAAATTTAGCTAATTTCATGTTTTGGTTTTCTTAATTTTGAAGAAAATTCTTATTTCGTTTATAGACTATAATTCTAATTTTCTTTGTAATCTGTGATATTATTCATACACATATTGTTGAAATGTTAATGTTAAATTTGTTATTAATGTTAATACAACTAGAACCATAAGACTTCCTAGGTGTTAGGATGGCCACGTTGATGACCCTCTCAACCTACTCTCTAGAAAATTCAAGACTCACCAACTCTCTACAAACTCTCCACCACCACACCTATCTATGCCATGAGAAGGGAAGAGGAAACTAATTTAAAAAATTATCGCAAATGAAAGGTTGATTTGTAATCTTTGGAGCCACTGATATAGATCTCGCGATGAAGAATTCAATTGTTTTTAATTTACTTTTCACCTGGGACGACATCGTTTGTATATTTTCTTCTTCTTTCAAGATGAGGAAAGAGCAGGTTTTACTAACTGCATGTTTTTCAAATTTGCAGGGATGATGCCAAGCTTATTGAGTTGATTGTAGATGATATTTTTGATAAATTGATCAACAACTCATCAAGTGAAAAGAACGGTTTGGTTGGAATGGATTCCCGCTTACAGAAAATGGATTCACTATTATGTCATGAGGTGGATGATGTTCGCTTTGTTGGAATATGGGGTATGGGTGGTATAGGCAAAACCACCATCGCCAGAGCTATGTATGACAAAATCAATCATCATTTCGAAGGTCGTTGCTTTCTTGAAAATGTGAAGGGACGTTTCCCGACGATTGATGCAGGTGAAGCACCATTAGATATGCAGGCGGAAATTCTGTCTAGCATCACGAATGCTAAGGTGGGGAGTTCAGAGATTTTGAGAAATGGTTTTCAGAAGATGGTGGAAAGAGTTGGTAAGAAAAAGATTTTACTTGTTCTTGATAATGTGGAGAATCCATTCCAAATTGAAGCTTTAATTGGACGACAACCTCCATTTGGTGGCGGAAGTCGAATCATTATAACAACTAGAGATAAACAGTCACTAAGTAGATTTGGTGATCAGATATATAAGCCAGAGTTGTTAAATGATGATGATGCTCTTGAACTGTTTATGCAGTATGCTTTCAGTACAAAGCAACGCACAGGAGAATACAGTGATATGTCAAGTCATTTCATAAAGTGTACTCAAGGTCTGCCTTTAGCACTTAAGGTCTTGGGAGCTTTTCTCGACAACAAAAGTGTACTTGTGTGGAAAGACGAGTTAGAGAAGATAGCGACAAACCCGCACCTGGGAATTCAGAAAGTCCTTCGAACAAGCTTTGATGGACTAGATCGTTTACAGAAGAAAATATTTCTTGATATTGCATGTTTCTTTAAACAAATGAAGAAAGACTATGCGATAAGGGTTATGGAGGGTTGTGGCTTCCATCCCCATACTGGACTGGACGTTCTAGTTGGTAGAGCTCTTGTAACTATCTCATCTGACGGTATAATCGAGATGCATGATTTACTAGAGGAAATGGGTTACGAGATCGTACGTCAGGAATCTATAGAAGAGCCTGGGAGGCGCAGTAGGTTGTGGAGCTATGAAGATGTTCGTCATGTGTTAACTCAAAATACGGTGAGATATGCATTATATTCAAGAATTTTTTTTCTTATGTAGCGGTCATTAGTATATAGCTTCAATTTTGACCAAACTCCAATTCATGAGAAACATGCATTAGCTTTATAATCTTAAATTAGTTTGTACTCACTCAATGTGAACATTTTGGTTATACAGGCTTCAAAAGCAGTTGAAAGCATTATTGTGCATTGGCCGCACTCAAACGAAGTGTTACAATTAGATGCAGCTTTTGCTAAAATGACGGAACTAAGACTCCTTAGGGTCCACTCACACTATATACGAAAAAATGGAAGACATCAGTCGTTCGACTATGATCAAAGAGAATGTGAAGAATTAAAGTATCTTTCTGGAAAGTTAAGTTGTCTCTTCTGGCCCAATTGCCCCTTAAAATCTTTGTCGTCCAAGTTTAACGCGGAAAATCTTGTTGACCTTGACATGCAATATAGTCGTCTTCAACAGCTTTGGGAAGGAACTAAGGTATAATCATCATTTACATATATGTTTCATTAAAATTGGTTTCGTCCTTAGATATTATGTAACATATGTTTTCCTGGATGTGTTTTGACAGTCTTTAGCAAAGTTGAAAGTTGTCAATTTAAAAGGCTCTCAACTTAAGGAAACTCCCGACTTCACTGGGGCGAAGAATCTTGAGAAACTAATTTTTGAGGGTTGCAGTTGTTTATCTGAGGTTCACCCATCCATTTCTGCCCTTGAAAAACTTGTTCTCTTGGATCTAAGTTGGTGCGTCAAACTCAAGGCCATTTCAAGCATCAATCATATGAAATCGCTTGAAACCTTGAATCTTTCTTTTTGCCGAGACATTGACAAATTCCCTGAGATTTCAGAAGTTATGGAGAAGCTTTCAGGACTTTATTTGCGAGGGACTGGCATAAAAGAACTGCCTCAATCAATTAACAATCTTACGGGGCTTCTTACTTTGAATCTTGAATATTGCAGAGAACTCAAGATTCTTCCAAACAGCATCGTTCAACTCAAGTCCCTTAAATTTCTTAATCTTTCTGGTTGTTCAAAGCTCGAGGTGTTTCCAGGAAATGTAGGAAATATGGAAGGATTAAAAGAGCTTTGCTTGGACGAGACATCTGTTAGAGAGCTTTGCCCATCAATTGCGTCTCTTCAAAACCTCGAGAGTTTGAGTTTAGAGCAGTGCAAGGAATTTCATAGTCTTCCAAGCAGCATTCATATGAGATCTCTTCGAACACTTAATCTTTCCGGCTGCTCAAATCTGGAGAAGTTTCCAGAAATTCCTGAAGTCATGGAGAACCTATCAGAGCTTAATTTAGAGGAGACTGCAATTACAGAGTTGCCCTTGTCCATTAAAAATTTAACGGGACTCGTTACTTTGAAACTGAAGGATTGCAGAAGATTAAGGATTCTTCCAAGCAGCATTCATATGAGATCTCTTCAAGCCCTAAATCTTTCTGGCTGCTCAAATCTGACGAAGGTTCCAGAGATTCTAGAAGTTATGAAGAACCTATTAGAGCTTCATTTAGATTGGACTACAATTGAAGACAATCATATGAGATCTGGCAGCCAAAATCTTGAGAACCTTCCTGTGTCTTCAGGACCTATGAAAGATCCATCAAGGCTCAGTTTAAATGGGATTGCAATCAAAGAATTGCCATCAGTAATTTATAATCTGAAGGGGCTTGTAACTTTAACGCTACGGTATAGCAAAGACTTTAAGAGTCTTACAAGCAGCATTTGTCAACTCACATCCCTTAGTTATCTCTCTCTTTCTGGTTGTACAGAGTTTGAGGTGTTTCCAGACATTTTTGAAGATATGGAACGATTAACCGGTCTTGATTTGGATGGAACATCTATTAGAGAGTTGCCCCCATCAATTGAACTCCTTCAAGGGCTTGTGACGTTAAATCTGAAAAACTGCAATAGCCTTGTCTCACTTCCGGACAGTATCTGCAATTTGTTAAGTCTTGAATGGCTGAATCTCAGTGGCTGCTCAAAACTTTCTAAGTTGCCTGAGAACTTGTGGTATTTGAAACGCCTTGACGTAAAGGGAGCTGGTATACGTAAAGACAACAATCATGGACCAACAGGCCGTTACCGCCCAAAACAGCGGTTTTTTAGCACTTTGGGGGATTTGGCTCAGTTTCGAAGCACTGCACCTTTGATTGATATTATGGGCTCAAACTGTAAGCAAAAAGAGTCGATGGCTGATGAGGAATCCCTTCTCACCTGGAGTGATGATTCAGAAATTTTGACTGATCCTGAGAAGTCATGCTATGCGGAAGAGACAAGGCAGATACATTTGGAGGTCCCTGAGCTAGAGAGCACGCTAGAGGGAACTGGTATACATCAAGACAACAATCACAGACCAACGGATTCCCACCCAAAACAGCATTTTTTCAGCACATTGGGGTATTTGGATCAGTTTCAGAGCACCACAACTTTGAGCGATATGGTGGACTCAAGCTACGAAGAAAAGGAGGTGGTGGCTGTTAAGGAAATTTTGAGTGATCTCAAGCAATCGAGACATGAGGAAGAGGAGGAGAGGGCGGTGGTAGCCTCCAGGAAAGGTGGGAGGATATGGGGTTGCATCTGTGGGTCACGGGGTAATGAGGATTGAGGTATTGGGCGCATCATCACTGATATAAAGTAAGACTTGGGACATGGGAGGATGAAGAAATGGTGATTTTCTGTAGTCGAGTTTTGCGAATTTCCTTTTTCTTCTGTGGTTGGTACATGGTCAGTATTTACTTACCCTATGTATTGCAAAGTTTTTTGTTTTTTTTTCTTCTTTTCGATAAGGTTTGTATTGCGGAGTTGGCGCCTGTTCAGTTAAGTAAACTACGATTGTATTAATTTGTGTCTGTTGAGTGTTATCATGTTCCTAACTTTCTATCAGTGATAACATCCTTCTCCAAGCAGTATATAAAGACACTAGAAATATATAAATCTATAACTGAAACTACCAGAACCATTCAATTCTAGTGTCTACAGCTTTAGCATTAGTTTCTACGAGAGGCATTCTTCCGAAAAGGGAGATGAAATTGTTGAGACTCTTATTTATCCCTCCTCTTGCTGTGTCCATTTAAACTACTGATTCAAGGCGATCCAATCTCATACGACTTCCCTGCAAAAGCATGTTTGCCAGACTCCAAGATCAAAATTTTCCAATGAAAGAAACTTCAAGACCAAACTCGTTAGCGGAATAAATGGTGCACAAAGGGTTTAAAATCTTTACATCTGTATATTTTTGTTGAGTGGCAGATTTTTTGTGAGCATGCAACTAAAACCGGCATCACTATCAATGGTGCACAAAGATTGGCAGAAAAACATGAAGGGAAGCAATCACAACACAACATGTACGAAGTAATCTGTCCACATATTGGGAAACTTTAACAGTTTGAATTGTTAGTTTTCGATTGTATTTGTTTAAGGCGAGATGGATGTCAACTATGCAATGCTCTGTAAAACTTAAACGGCTGCATAGCAGATCTTGTCCGTTGTATTGAACACCATGGTTTCTCTCAGCGAGAAAGACTTCATTTCTCTTTTGATTTCCTTCACAGGAAAAGTGCTTAAAACTTTTTTTTGTTAAGATATTTAGTCGTTTGTTTTTCAATAAATTCCTATTTGTTAGGAAGTCTGTTTCTTTTACCTATTCCTTAGGAGAATCCCAGATTACTAGGAGTTGTTAGTCGTGGGATTAGACGTTGCTTTATTTTCTAGCTTTCAGTTATTTGCATTTGTATTTAATCAGACTTCAAGTCAATGAATCAGTATCGCATTCCTTTTTACTCATTCAGCAGCAAACTCAGTTTTTAGTTTTACAACATTTTTAACTACCTAAGCTACTGATGAATGCAGAGAGTGCTGATGATGCATACGACAAGCAATTGAAAATCCCGTCATTATACCCCACATTAACACAAATTCGGAGGGCTCATCCACTGCAATTTGCAGATATAGAAATGTTAAGATAAAGGAAATGCAAAGTACCTTTCACTCAAATTGGAGGAGCAAACGGTGGCATTAGGAACGAGCAATGTCATTGCAATATCTTCACAGTTTCCGCACAAGCACAGAAACTCAAAAGTACAAAAACGCAGCACACAAGCAATTGAATCCTGCAAACCCAAACCAAAAGATCGGCAACAAATATATTCCACATGTAGAGATATGTACCTCTCCATGGTGACATGATCACGAATCGATGAGGGCATATTGTGAGTATACAAATCAAAGTATTTCCTACGAAAGAATGGAGCTTTTGGCAGAAGCATACTATAAAAGCAAAAGTTCAACATCCTTATCAAGCAATACATTCGAGTAACAACCCGGCAACGGCGTTGCACGCAGATTGCCAGACAGAGAAAGCGAAATGCAATGTGGGACTCGGGACTATTACATCAACGCGACGGAGAATACTGCGTCCTGTGAAAGTCCCTGAATTTGCTTAAACCTAGTGTTCAAATTGTCATCTGGTTTATGCTAAACTTATAAGTTCGGTTTTTTATCTGCTTGTGATATGGAAAATGCAATCTTTTCGAGATGGGATTTCAGAGAATCCGACGGCGGTTCGCCGTCCTACCCGCCACATGAATTGCATCAACGCTGCCGCATGCGGCGTAGTGACAGATTGATTGCTTCAAAGCAGAGCTGAGCTTCCATGTGTTTATCAGCACCGATTAATTATGTTTCCCAAATTTCCAAATTTAATTCTGAATCCAAAAATTGAATTTTGATTACCTAGAAATTGGGGAATGTGAGCGGAAAGAGACCCAGTCCACGACGGAGCTGAGGCTGGAGACTACCAAAACGACGACAGAGAAGATAAAAACGGATTTGGATCCGTAATGTCCGGAGCCTCCTCATCCATTAATCTGGGCCGCACAAATTGAATCCAACGGTCTCATTTAATTCATTTTCCTAGCCACCACACACAACCAACAGTTCTGATTTGACTTGCACAATAATCAGCGGTCCAGATTTGTGGATGAGGAAGCTCCAGACATTAGTGTCCGGAGCAGATCCAAATCGCACACAATGAGCTTAACCTTAGTGGTGCCAACCAGGCTTCGAAGCCGCCGAGAGGTCCCGCGTTCGTGGATGCTGATGATGTTTGGAAGTATTGTACACGTGTCAAAATGTGAGTATGTCAATGAATTTTTTATTGAGTAAACTGTCGGTTTACCCCCTGAACTTTCACATCACTTTCGATTTTCCCCCTGAACTTTTCTATTGGAAAATTAAGGACTCAAACTAATTTTTTTAGCCAATTTGCCCCCTACCGTTAGTTTTTCATATATTCCATCCATATTTCCGTTAAGTGAGACCATATGGACAACATGTGAGGGTAGTTAAATTATTTTACTCTTAAAAATGATTAAAAAACTGAAAATAAAAAAAAAACAAAACTTTCCCTCTATTTTTCCCGCTAATTCCTATCCTCGATTTTATTTTTCCCTCTCATTCCTATGCATGAGAAATGACATATGGTGTTATTGTCTACCATTTTTATTTTCTCTAACAAATTAATAATTTGACAAATGCTAATGGTGCTATTGTCTCCAAAGCAGTGCATTAATATAAGAAACCCTAGTCTTTTTTATGGACATGTTTCTTATATTAATGTACTGCTTTGGAGACAATAGCACCATGAACATTTGTCAAATTATTAATTTGTTAGAGAAAATAAAAATGGTAGTACATGCTTCAAGAAAAAGATTAACTTAGCTACTTATGAAGACAATAACACCATCTGTTATTTCTCATGCATAGGAATGAGAGGGAAAAATAAAATTGAGGATAGGAATTAGAGGGAAAAAATAGAGGGAAAGTTTTGTTTTTTTTTTTTATTTTCAGTTTTTTAATCATTTTAAGAGTGAAATAATTTAACTACCCTCACATGTTGTGCACATGGTCTCACTTAACGGAAATATGGATGGAATACATGAAAAACTAACGGTAGGGGGCAAATTGGCTAAAAAAATTAGTTTGAGTCCTTAATTTTCCAATAGAAAAGTTCAGTGGGGAAATCGAAAGTGAGGTAAAAGTTCAGGGGGTAAACCGACAGTTTACCCTTTTTTATTTTATTAAAAACATTTATTTTTTCGCAGATATATAGTGTTCCCCTTTCCCATTCAGTCTAGGATTTTTACCGGTAAATTCAAAATAAGTACCAAAACGAAGAAGGAAAAGGCATAAAACGACATTGTTTTCCCATTCCCAAAGGGGAATGTATCTCTCCCAGAGTGCAAACAGCTCATCCGATTCCATATAACTCAAAACAGGGTCATCAGAAATCTTATGGCTTCTGCTGCCGCTTGGGTTTTTCAAACAAAGATGGCACTTTTTATCTCTTCACTTTTGCTTACTTTGTTCAGATTCTTCAGCAAAATCTTCCTTGTGAGTTTTCGTCACGACAAGAGTTCTCCGTTGAACAATTCCTGTTGTTCTAGCCCTCCTCCTTCGGGAGAAATCAATGGGATTTCGAAGATTGATGGTGATGATTCGAAGTTTGATGATGTTGGTGATGGAGATGCGTCGAAACCGAATTTCGTGTTCAAGTTTGAGTTCCAGACTAAAGAATTATTGAGTAGAATCAATGAAGGGAATAATGTTAATGGTGATTCGGCTCTCTTGGAAGAGTACGAGTTCCTAGCTGAGAAGTTTAACCAGATGAAAGCTGCAAAGAATGTTAGTTGCTTCATGGACGAAGCTAAAGCCGCAAGCTTTAATGTTGAAGAAGCTCCTCAGGATTTTGGACATGGTGAATGCGAGAAAGACGAGTCCCGTGAGATGAAATTGGTCACGGGAGAGGAGCCTCGTTCGGACGGAGAGAAATTGGGGAGTCATGAAAACGATTCGGCTTCAGATTCTGATTACGATTATGTTGGGTACGCAACTGATTGTTTTGAGGACGAAGGAGAAGATATGAAGAAAGAAATTCGAGAAACCAAAGAGCTGCAGAAGAATGATCATCACAATCCTGAAGAAAAGCCAACGGAGGGTTTAGATTTAGAAGATTCTGAAAAATCCAATTGTCATAACCATAACCTGACAGCCAGAGATTATGTGGATTCATACACATTGGAAGCTTTGTGGGAGCACCAAGAATTGATAGAACAGTTAAAAATGGAGTTCAAGAGAGTCAGAGCTGATGCTCTGCCTACTATTCCCGAAGATTACGAGTTCTTGAATTTGGATGAATTGAAGCCAAGGAAGGTTGATGAAATACTCCATGGTAGAATCGGAGAGTTTGACGAATTCTACAAGAGCTACAGCGTAGGTATGCGAAATTTCGATATCTTGAATAACCAGAAGTTGAATGCACTACGTTTATTGCAGTCCAAGAAACCACCTAAGCCGTTTTCGAGCAGCAAATCCTTTTGCTCACAGAACCTTTTGAGATGCAAATCAAATAAAGATTCTGATTTTTTTGACCCAATTTCGGTGAAGTTTAGAGAATTGCATAGTGAGTTAGAAGTGGTGTATGTGGGGCAGTTGTGCCTTTCGTGGGAGTTCCTTAAATGGCAGTATGGTAAGGCCTTGGAGCTATGGAAGTCTCCATATAAAACCGCTACGTATAATGAAGTCGCGGGCGAATTTCAGAAGTTTAAAGAGTACTTGCAAAGATTTGTGGAGGGTGAATGTTCTGAAGAACGGACAAGGGTTGAAAATTATGTCAGTAATCGATACAAGATGTCTCTACTTCTTCAAGTTCCAGTGGTTCGAGGGGACAGTTTAAAAGACAGAAGGAAAACAAGAAGAAAAGGTAGAGATGATGGAGAAATAATTTCGAGTGACGATCTAGTAGAGAAACTGGAAGAATCAATTACGACAATGTGGCAATTCATTCGAGCTGATAAATACGCTAGCAGTTCGATTAATGCAAGTCAAAAGAGAAGACGAGAACACCTTCAAGAAACGGATTTGAATCTTTTGGCTGAGGTCCAAACTGATCTTCTCTGAAGTTGACATGAAATTAGTTTCTAAGGTTTTGAACATGTCAAGTGTAACAACAGACCAACTAGAGTGGTGTCGCGATATGTTGAGCAAGATCTGTTTTGTGAACCGAAAGCTTTGTGTAGATCCTTCAGTCTTGCTATTTCCATGCTAATTTTTCGATGTATTTCACTCAAATTGTAACACGTGTATTTTTTTTTTATGAACTGAAAGATTCTTGTAGTTCGACCATTATTCCTTCTTTCTATTTCCATGCTAGCTAAATTAGCCCTATTTTTTCTTACCATGAATATTAATTTAATCTAAACAACATGATCATCGTGACAGTAATTCAAACTTGGCTAACATAAAGGAGACAACATTTCTAAGCATTTTATTCCTGCCATTGGATACCATTATAAGAGACTTTGTTGAATCCAATTAAACAGCCAAAGTATTCAAAGCAAACGATTGCAATTTCCATTTGCCCTCCCCTTTTCATTCTTCTACCCGTTAGCCACTTTTCAAATCGACAACCATGACACTTATATCGCCATGGCTTCCACGAGCTAATGCAAGGCGGCACAGCAATGTGGCTGCAAGGTTGCTTTCTGGCGATAGAAACACACCACCCCTCGCATTCTCATGGCCATCTGTGTTTGGAGGACAAAGACAGTGCTCCACGTTCCCCGTATTTGGAGCTGTAGCTCGATTCATATGGCCGCTGCTGCCACCACCTCCGCCTCCTCTAAGACACATACAAGCTACCCTGCAAGCCATGTCATCGGGCACCACATCCCAGAGGCCGTCGTTGGCTAGAATCAAGAACTCATCTTGATCCCCTTCTCTTTTTATTAAGGAAATACGAGGTTCCAATGTCACAACCGGTTTATAAATGTGCTCAACTGTTCATTAATTTACAATCCATCAAATAATTAGCACCAGGAAATAGCTTAACATTGAAGAGGCAGGAAAGCTTTTCGTAATGACGATCGCATTTCCATCAGATGATGTTACCAATTCACTCATGTTATCACTTACCAGACGTGCATTTATTTACATATTCCCTACTTAGTATAACAAGTTCATTAGTAACACTAATAACACCAATTGTGGCTCAACATCTTTTCAGAAACTTAAATACACTAATTTTTAATTAGAAGAGAGATAATTGAAGATTACTTGGGTTTGGGGAATGATTCATGTTGAGAGTTCCATATACACGAACGCCGTTGTGATAGAACATCCGACCATCGACTGCACGCATCCTTTCTTGCTCATTCCACCTCTCAGACTGCAACTGATAGATAATAAAATTAGAATGTAAAATTCTAATATATTTTCTCTCTTTTATGCACTTTTTAATATTTGGTCCATTGATGTTTCTTTGTTTTATTAAATTCCAGGGTTAGGAATAAAAAATGAAAGGAGTGCATGTGGAGGATAGATTAGAGCGAATTGAAACTTGAACTTGGACATCAAGTAGATTTCGTCAATGAACTAAATAGCCGTTAACTGAGGTCCATGAATTTAACGTGCATTATTGGTCTTTCCATGAGATTTTTCGTCAATTTGATTATATGCCATGACATAGGACCGACAATTAGTCTCTAAACTTTCACTCTAATTTAGAGGATTTTTTTATGGTATTTCGGAGTATCAGATACTATACGGATTTTTTAATAGTTATATCTTTGATCATTATTATCTGGCGGTTAAAAAGACCGAATTAAATAATACCAGAGCTATAGTCTACATTTTGTTAAATTAGAAGAAAAAAAAACCCTAAATTAAAAGTTACAAAAACCAACCTTATGATAATGGGAGAGTGGGAAGGGACGCCCAGCACGGCCAAGAACGGCGTGTGAGAAACCACAATTGGCAATCACAATATGCTGAGCTGTCAATATTGCCACAACAGCAGTGGACCCCGCAACAGGCAGTGCGTTGATATTGGGCTTGCACCCGCACGCGTGCCCGATGTTCCCACACGGGCAAGTGTCCTGGGCCAGTCGATGCATCCTCTGGAAACTCCTTTCTAGGGCCGTCGGTACCAGAGCAGGCCACCTCGCCTCCTCTTGCCCTTGCGAAGCAAAGTTCATGTTTTCATCACCATTCGCACACCCTACGGTGGTGAAGACGCGCCGCAGCTCCTCGGCTACGAATTCGTGCATCCGTTGTTTGCAAACGGTGGACACCTATACATGTGAATTTAACCACAACGTTCCCTTCTTCTCAGTTCATAAGTAGGAAAATTATCACATTTGTATATACAAAAAAAATTATCAAGGAAAACACATTAAACTAAGATCTTAAATTAAATTTTAAATATTTTGCTATCGCTTATTGTAGAGAGTACGAAATTAAAAGTATATAACGTTCTCTTCTCAAGTTTATACAGTGAGAGTGTGTTACGATATAAGTAATATATAATTACGTAATACTTACATGAGGGTGTCCATGACCGTCATATACAGCAAAGAAATGAATGGGCTGGCCATGGAGAACATGATCCAGCCGGCAAAAGTCCTCTTTCACAAACACGGTATCGTTTAGTTCCATACCCATCTGATCTGGAAGCCGACTGAACGACATAGTCCTGAATTCCGGCATTGGGTTCCTATGAAGCAAATAACGGGGAGATGGTACTGCAGGCTGCACCGCCACCTCATGATCAGTTGGCCCTCCATCCTCCTCGTCAGATAATATTAGACAGGTCTGATCATGATCGTTTGAGATGTGCTGAGCACCACGTACTGGGAGTGGGCGGTAGCCGGAGCTGGACCACTTGGCCCGCCTCATCTCTATTCTTCGACGGCGGCGGTCTCGGCATTGCTCCGGAGTATCAAACATCCACTCCTTCCTCAGCCTCATCTTCCACGAAACAAGTTCAGCTCGCTGCCGGGTCATAATTGTTTGATTAGGGTTTCAGAGAGAGAGAGAGAGAGAGAGAGGAAGATCTAGACAGAGAAAGATATAGAGAGAGTGATGAGAGAGGGGATAAACCAGAGAAACGTGAAAGTTGAAGGTCCTGGAGAATGTGGTGACTCGTGGAAGGAGAGAAAGGTTGGGAAGCGCCACGAGAATGCTCTGCATGAGCTATGAAGCCACTACGTGGGGCCTTCTTGCTATTGTTGCAACCGTCGATATCAGTAACATCTTTGTCAGCTTGTGTGGCATTGAAACAGAAAATTAATGATTTACTGAAATTCCATTATTTTATGGTAAAATGAAACAAAGCAAGCACAAAATGAAAATTACGTGATTAATATGTAAGGTGTAAACCTACCTTAATTACAGTAGGTATCTACAATTTTGTTAAAGATTTCAAATACGATGTCAACTAGTAATTGTATTTATCTAACCATTTGTGCAATGTGAAACTACATATAAAAACGCAATTGGTAGCAAAACCATTTAATATAAGATGGATTTAGTCTTGTCCTACAAACAATATAATCTGAATTGTTTACCTTTTTATCATCCTCTAAAAGTCTTCTCTAAAAAAAATTAATCTGATTTAAAAGTCGTCTAGTCATCTATATCAATCAACAAACTGACAATTTATGATGAGAATACTGCAAAAACATGTGATTTGAAATCAATATGGAAACAACAAGTGGCCATTTACCATAGCGATAAAAAGATGTTCAACCCTTGCATGATGACGTAGGTTCAAACTCCATCAATGGCTAATCTAACAAAATCTATAATTTGACAACAAAAAAATCAGTATGGAAACTGAACAATTATGAAATTATTGTAATTTAGTTTTGATCAACATCAATGTGATTTGAATTTGAACATGGATAATTCTACATTTCAGCGTCTGAGGCTCGACTTTCACGAAAGCACCTTCCAACGGCGAAACAATGGCGTGGTAATTCGGAACCGGAGGGCTAACGTTAGCGACAGTTCTGTGAAGTGTCAAAAGCAGGAACAAGTTGGCAATCTGCAACAACCTCCCTTTCCATTTGCAACCTGTGTTTGCCAAGATCATACCTAGTCCCCATGCATCTCACACCACCTGTCCCTTCTGCGTTTCGGACTAATCCCACGGTCACAAATCACAATCCTCCCAGCAACAACGCAGCAATTCACAGTTGCTTCCAAAACAAGGAAGTGGGACCAGGGCATGGTGAATTGCTACCAGTATACACAATTTCAGTATTTTTCGCTATCAATTGAGTGAAACCCCGCCAGTGACTGAAAAACGAAGCCTACTTTTATCAACTGAGTAGACTTAATGAAACAGACATAAAGCAAGATAAAAAGATGAAACAGACATAAAGCAAGATCAAAAGACACAACACACCTGAAATATTGGTCAGCAACTCTTACCTGTAATTTGCCAAAAACACGAAGTTCCGCTTCAGGGTTTTCATGATGATTTTTTAGGCTGCGCCATGCTTTGTGGTTTGCACCTCCTCACGATTGGTATAAAGAAACGAACTCCGCATCTTCTGATGTGATGCAGCTGTGTTTGCCAAAATCATATACCTAGTACATCTTCTCCATCTTTCACCACCAGTCCCTTCTATGCATTACGATTAGGGCTTGTTGACTTACTACGGATAATATATACACAATAGTCAATAGACAACACACACTGCCTTAGCTTATGACCGCTGACAGAAAATCAGAGCTGAAGGAACCACCAACCCAGAAACCTTAAAATAAATTTGAAAAATAGATTGATACATAAATTAGAAATTTCCCTTCTGTTTTACCTTCTATTCTTGGCAATGGCATCAAAAGCGTCCCCCACATCTTATTGATCTTGAAATGCCCCTTAAAGTCCTTGCCATCCAATTTCCACTCCAAGAATCTTATTGATCTTGAAATGCCTTATAGTCAGATTGAACAACTTTGGGAAGGAACCAAGGTACAATATTCATTTTTCATATGTTTATTTTGAATGGTTTAAGTTGTCAGATGCCTTATTATTTATTGGATGTTTTCCTGGTTGTCGTTGCAGCGTCTGGAAAGGTTGGAATTCATCGATTTAAGTCATTCTCAATACCTTAACAAAACCCCGGATGTCACTGAAGCAAAAAAACTTGAGATTCTAAATCTCGAAGGTTGTTCAAGTTTAACTGAAGTTCACCCATCGGTTTCGGATCTTACCAACCTTGTTTTTTTTAGTCTAAAAGAATGCAAAGAACTCCAGGTTCTTTCAAGAAGAATTCACATGAAATCTCTTAAAACCCTTATTCTTTCTGGCTGCTTAAATCTTGACAAGTTTCCAGAGATTTCAGGAAGCATGCAGGAGCTGTCAGAGCTTTATATAGATCAGACTGCAATTGAAGAACTTCCCTCATCGATTAGTATTCTTACGGAGCATTCCAGTATCTGGACGAGTTCTTTTAAGCACCACGTCGAAGATGTTGGTGTATAATCCTTTAGCTGAAGCTCGGCAGCAAGAATCATGTTTCTATGTGTTGTTTCAGTTTGAATGTGAGCCTTTGGATCATAGTCCACATGGCATTTTAATCTTGTATCTAGCCTAAGTAATAGAATAAGCCAAGTGGCATCATCTCATAGGATGATACCAATGAATGGCTAAGATTGTATTATATGTTGAAGAGTGAAGGATCTCCCTTCCCTTCCTCATATAACGGTAAGATTGTATTATGCAAGATATGTGAATGAAATTCGAAGAGACATTTTGCAGCTTCTTCTCTCGGAAACTCTTTCCATCTTTGGAGACAACCTCCATTGAAACACATACTAAAACTACACACACAAACACTAACATGGCCTCAGAGCCAGGTTTCATCGTCTAATCTGGGCGTGAAATCTGTGCGATTGAGCTACATCTTTGAGCTTTAATCGAATCTGGAAATTGTGATTTCGTGTATCCAAGTCTCATATGGCTGGATCCGGAAATGTCGAGCTTAGAGCTCCGGTCTTCAATGGAGAGAACTATGAATTTTGGAGGATTCGTATGACAACTATACTAAAATCGTATGGTTTGTGGGAGCTGGTAGAAAATGGGTTTGAACCAGATCCGAAGTCTGAGAAAGCTGTGGTCGATGAGACGAAGAAGGAGACGCCGGATGGAATGTCGTTCAGTGAGATCCTGATGAAGGATGCTCGTGCGCTTGGAATGATACAAGGTGCAGTATTGGATCAGATCTTTCCCAGAATCGTGAATGAAGAGACATCCAAAGGAGCTTGGGATGCTCTAAAGGGTGAATTCCGAGGAGATAAACAAGTAAGAAATGTAAAATTGCAAGGTTTACGTAGAGATTTTGAATATACTCGTATGAAGAACAGTGAATCATTATATGTGTATCTCTCTAGATTGTTTGATATCATTAATCAAATGAAAAGTTATGGAGAAGAACTATCTAGGGAGAGAATTGTGCAGAAATTACTTATTAGTCTTCCGAAAACATATGATGCAATTTGTTCTGTAATTGAGCATTCTAGAGATCTTGAAATTATTGAGGTCCAAGAGGTTGTAGCTTCTCTAAAAGGATTTGAACAGAGGCTTGATCTACATACTGAGTCTTCGACTGATAGGGCATTTGCAAGTTTAAATATAGCATCTAAGGGTGTCAAAAGTGGTGGATTTTCTGGGAATCAAAGGTCTCAAGAGAGTTGGAAATCAAGGGGAAAGAATTGGGATCATAAATCAAATCTTGTTCAGAGACAGAACAATACTCAAAGGAATTGGGATCACAAACCAAATTATCCTCAGAGACAGAACAATATTCAAAGGAATTGGGATCATAGGCCTAATTATGTCCAGAAGCAAAACAATGCTCAGGGTGATTGTAAGTGGTGTGACAGGTTACACTATGGGAAGTGCTGGTATGAAGGTAAACCAAAGTGCACAGGCTGTGGTAAGCCAGGTCATTCTATGAGAGACTGTCATGAGAATAGGGGCGTGCAGAAAGTTAATTATGTGAAGCAAATGGGAGAAACAGGATCACTGTTTTATGCCTGCAATGCAGTGACCGATGTGAAAGTCAATAACTCATGGTACATTGATAGTGGTTGTAGTAACCACTTGACAGGAGATGAGAGATTATTGGTCAATGTTCAGAGAGGTTTGACATCCAAAGTGAAGATGGGAACTGGAGAAATCTGTGAAGTGGCAGGAAAGGGAACTTTAGTGATTGAAACTAAATTGGGAAGAAAACATATACAAGAAGTAATGCTTGTTCCCGGACTTGAGGAAAATCTTCTAAGTGTAGGACAAATGATGGAAAATGGTTATTATCTGTTGTTTGGAGGTGATGTAGTGAATATTTTTGATGGATGGTCACTGGATAATTTAGTAGTGAGGGTACATATGACCAACAATCGATGTTTTCCTTTGACAATGTTGCCTGCAACACAGTATGCACTAAGGGCAGGTATCACTCATTGTTCTCAGATATGGCATAAGAGGTTGGGTCATTTGAATGAGAGAAGTCTCAAGGTACTTGAAGAACAGGAGTTGGTGCATGGATTACCTAAATTAGAAATGTCCCAAAGTGTGTGTGAAGGTTGCATGTTGGGTAAACAACACAGAGACTCATTCCCTTCCCAATCAACTTGGAGAGCTAAAGATCCACTGGAGTTGATTCATACTGATCTCTGTGGTCCAATGCAAGTAGAGTCTCATTCTGGAAACAAATATTTTTTGTTGTTTACAGATGACTGCACAAGGATGTCATGGGTGTATTTTTTGAGAAACAAGTCTGATGTGTTTGAATGTTTCAGAAAGTTCAAGGCAATGACTGAGTTACAATGTGGATATAAGGTTAAATGTCTCAGGAGTGATCGAGGGGGAGAATTCCTTTCTGCAGAGTTTGACAAATACTGTATTGGACAAGGAATTCAGAGACAATTGACTATGGCCTACACTCCTCAACAGAATGGAGTGTCCGAAAGAAAGAATAGGACTGTGGTGGAGATGGCAAAGTCAATGCTACATGAAAAAAAACCTTCCATATGCATTTTGGGCAGAAGCAGTGAATACTGCAGTCTATTTGATCAATAGGTGTCCTACTAAAGCTTTGAAGAAGTCAACCCCATTTGAAGCTTACAGTGGCAGAAAACCTGGAATAGCTCATTTGAAGATATTTGGCTCACTGTGCTATGTGCATATCCCTTCCAATCTCAGACATAAGTTGGAAGAAAACAGTCACAAGTGTATCTTTGTATGATATGGTTCAAGTGAGAAGGGCTACATATTGTTTGATCCCATTTCAAGGAAGATTGTTCTCTCAAGGGATGTCACATTTGATGAGAGTAAATCTTGGGATTGGAACTGCAATATAGATACTGGAGTGACATTTCCAGTTATCACTGAACATAAGAATGCTAATGAAATCTGTGAGGTTGATGAAAATTCTCAGTTTGAAGAATACAATGTTTCTCAAAGTGAGAATGTGCTTGAGAGATCTCCAACTTATGATGATACACCGAAGAAATGGAGAAGTATCAATGAAATCATGGCTCAATGTAACATGTGTGTTATTGAACCAGAAAGTTATGAGGATGCAGCCAAAGATGATTCATGGAGGAGTGCAATGAAAACTGAATTGGACATGATTGAGAAGAACAACACATGGCAGCTTGTTGAGAGACCATATGACAAGCCTGTTATTGGTGTTAGATGGGTTTATAAGACCAAACTTAATCTGGATGGCACGGTGCAGAAGAATAAAGCTCGGCTGGTGGCTAAAGGCTATTCACAAAAGCCCGGAATCGACTATAATGAAACTTTTGCCCTTGTGGCAAGGTTGGATACGATTAGAACTTTAATTGCCCTTGTTGCACAGAAGAAATGGAACTTGTATCAATTAGATGTAAAGTCTGCATTTCTCAATGGGGTACTGAAAGAAGAAGTGTATGTTGAGCAACCTTAAGGTTTTGTGAAGGAAAGTGAAGAAACAAAGGTGTACAAGTTGAACAAGGCTCTATACGGCTTGAAACAAGCACCAAGAGCCTGGTATGACGAGATTAATGCATACTTCAATAGTGCATGGTTTGAGAAGAGTTCAAGTGAGGCAACTTTGTATGTTAAGACAAGTAAGGACTCAGGTATCATTATTGTCTCTCTATATGTAGATGACATTGTATATACTGGTAGCAGTCCACAAATGCTTGAAGAATTCAGAAATGACATGATGAAACACTATGAGATGACTGACTTGGGCTTATTACATCATTTTCTTGGAATGGGTGTGCTGCAAACTGAGAACAACATTTTTATACACCAAAAGAAATATGCACAGAAACTAATTGAGAAGTTTGGTCTGAAAGAATGCAAGTCAGTTGCTACTCCACTTGTAATGAATGAGAGGTTGAGCAAAGTTGATGGAAGTGAACCTGCGGATGAAGGAGAATATAGGCAGTTTGTTGGAAGTCTGCTCTATTTAACTGCAACTAGACCTGATGTGATGTTTGCAGCAAGTATGTTGGCAAGGTTTATGCATAATCCCACTAAGAAACATATGGGAACAGCTAAGAGGGTATTGAGATACATCCAGGGAACAATCGATTTTGGTATTGTCTTTGAAAGGGGAAAAGCTACTACCCTAATAGGCTACTGTGATAGTGATTGGGCTGGAAGTGAGGATGATATGAGAAGTACTTCAGGGTATGCATTCACACTAGGATCTGGTATGTTCTCATGGGCTTCAATCAAACAAAACATTGTGGCACTACCTACTGCAGAAGCATAATATGTTAGTGCAGCAGAGGCTACATCACAAGCAAAGTGGCTGAGATTTGTTCTAGAAGACTTTGGAGAAGAACAAGTGGAAGGAACTCAGATCTTGTGTGATAATACATCAGCCATTGCTATGGCAAAGAATCCAGTCTTTCATCAAAAGACAAGACACATCAACAGGAAGTTCCACTTCATCCAAGAAGCAATTCAAGCCAAAGAGATTGAGTTAGTGTACTGCAGGACAGAGGAGCAGATTGCAGATATACTTACTAAGGCTTTACCTAAAGATCGATTTGTGTATCTAAGGGAGCTACTTGAAGTTAAATCAGCCAAAGGATTAGAAGGGAGTGTTGGTGTATAATCCTTTAGCTGAAGCTCGGCAGCAAGAATCATGTTTCTATGTGTTGTTTCAGTTTGAATGTGAGCCTTTGGATCATAGTCCACATGGCATTTTAATCTTGTATCTAGCCTAAGTAATAGAATAAGCCAAGTGGCATCATCTCATAGGATGATACCAATGAATGGCTAAGATTGTATTATATGTTGAAGAGTGAAGGATCTCCCTTCCCTTCCTCATATAACGGTAAGATTGTATTATGCAAGATATGTGAATGAAATTCGAAGAGACATTTTGCAGCTTCTTCTCTCGGAAACTCTTTCCATCTTTGGAGACAACCTCCATTGAAACACATACTAAAACTACACACACAAACACTAACAGAAGAAGCGTAGTTTTCGGAAAAAACTACAATCGATAGCCTCGAGTCGGCAATAGCTGTAAGGAGCTCTGAAAGGTCGTTGCCTTCTCGAAGCTCTTCGCCATCAATGAAGGTGTTGATTGCTTTCTGATTTAGAGCTCTGTAGAGATGGCCGATGAAGACCTTACGAGTGTCTTCCCCTCTAAAATTCAGGAATACATCATATTTCCAACTACAGTCAGATGAAGACGAAGAACAAGAAGAAGCAGCCGCCATTAACATCAAACGAAAGTAAAACACCTAGTCTTCAGAAATTGTTTGAATTTGAGGGATGCTAAGATTGTAGGTCAACGCCCTCCCTCTCTCCCTCCATTGTCTCTTCACTGTCTCGGTCAAAGCGATTCAGATTGGACTTGGTTGAATGGGCTAAAGTGCGCACTGGTGTCATTTGGAAACATGCAAGGCCCAAAGCCCATGGGCACTTACCATCCAACGGTAACTCTCTCCTCTTTCCTAGAGTTCATAATTTTAGACGCGAGACGACAAGTTAACATGAACCTTTCTAACATAGAACAAATAGTTGAATGGATCGAGGAGGAGATGAACTGTCAGAAGACAAAAGGACACAGTAGGAATTTGTCTATTTAGCGTTCAGGCTCCGAATTGGACCTTTGATATCTTTTAGGAAAGAAAACGATGCCACGAGTCAAACTCATGGATTTTGGCCATTCGGAATCATTTCAGCCTCCAAAATGCAATTTGAAGTTTATAATAAAAATTTGGACTTTTCGTTTGTCATTCAAATTTATGTCATTAGCCCTTGAAGTTCTCCCAACAGATGTACTATATTTATTTAAGCCATTTGGCTGTTCATTTGTAAGCATCAAGTTAATCAATTAAACAAAACAACCTTTGGGTTTTCAACCAAAATCTGGTGGACTCCAAAAATTGTATTCTTCGAGGGCTTACGTTTGTATCTCTCTTGCTTCGTCCTGCGTCACTTCCATAGGTTATTGCAACTCTACAAAGCTTCTTGCCTAATCTCTTATATTCTAAAATCAATTGGGGATTGAGAAATTATGAATAGTTCTACATTTCAACGCACATTGTTGTTTTGATTTTGTTCTGAGGTTGAGGAAGGAGGCTAACTATTGAGGCGTGCACCGTGATCGTACAGGGTTGAAACCGCAGCTGTTGAGGCGTCTTGCAGAGGATTACGCGTGTTGTCATGAAAGGCAGACTTTATTGCAGGCGGACTCCAACTGAGTCCCAAGAAATGCTAGAGTTGCAGAGGTTCTTGGGCTCGTTAAACATAATGCTAGAGTTAACAGTTCTGCGAAGTGTCAAAAGCAGGAACAAGTTGGCAATCTGCCACAACTTCCCTTTCCATTTGCAAGCTGTTTTTGCCAAGATCATGCCTACTAGCTCCCACCTGTCCCTTCTGCACTCCCGAACTCATCCCACAGTATGTGTATACTGGTAGCAATTCACCAAGCCCTGATCCCACTTCCTTGTTTTGGAAGCAACTTTGAATTGCTGTGTTGTTGCCAGGGAGACTGAAGCATCCACCAACCCGGCAAATTTTAATAAATTTGAAAAAATAGATTGATACAGGAATTAGAAGTTGTCCTTCTATCAAAAGCGTCGCTGCATTTCTCTATATCCACCGGTTGAGAATCTTTGAAGTTATACTTGATGAAAGCTCTGGTATTGATTTCAGTCTCTTGCAAGCTTCCAATTTGAGAGTGTTAAACAAAGAAGTCAACTCATTATCGCAGGTAAGCTCTCAATAAGGTTTCTGCAAAATTTTAATATTTTCAAGGAAGATATATGGCTAATACTATCCGATACCTCCCAACAGTCACTTAAACCAAGAATTTCAGGCCACAGTGACAATAATTTTTCACAGCAGAAGCAGGTACCTTTTATTGTCGGTGTCAAAAGCATTCCTACATTTCTTTGAAGCTTATATAAGGGTAAAGTGAACAAAAAGGCAGTTCAATGTCACTATATTTCATGCTAAGATGAACAAAATTATGTGGGGCAAAACTGGACGGCAAAGACTCTAGAGGAGAGAAGACACCTTATTTATACAGAAAGAAAGGAGTACAACCACACAACCAGTTACAAACTAAATTCCCTACCGCATCCACACTCATACAATCAAAGATATAAGCATTACACGCCACAATCGTAATAGTACACGATCATAGAAGTAAGATCTGTCCACAGTAGGAAGTTCGCCTCCCTAAACACATGCTTTCGGGGATATTCTAGTGAATGGCCTAGCCAGTCGATGAATGTCCTCAATAACAGCATCTAATTGACATTTTCTACTGTTTTACAGAAATTTGTTTATTCAAAAGCAATAAAACCCACAATATATCCCTCAACGTAATTATGCTTTGGTGTTGAAAGTTGAAACTATTTCCAAAGCTGTGATTTCTTGTTCATCCAAAATATTTATACTCGGTGAAAAGCTCTGGTATTTGATTACAGTCTCATTCAAGCTCTCAATTCAAGATCCGTTCGAAGTCACGGCAGAGTCTCCAAGTACATTTTACAATGTCCTCAATAAGCTTGGCCTCATCCCTGTGCAATATGAAAAGTAGCATGCTTAGATTGAAAAGGTCAAAATTAGAACCTAAAAATATTAAGATTTTATAGAGAAAAATTACCTGTAATTATTGCGATCAAATCCAGAAATGTCGGCGGCACTTCTTAGAGCGTAGCGCCAAAGCTTCACCTTTTCCATATTGTCGCTGTAACGTCTCTCCAAGTGAACTAAAGCTTCCCCAAAGGGCCCTTTGGCTTTACGAACATCAGATGGATCTACTCCATAGAAAACGGGAAGCAATCTCTGATTGTTTGTGCGGATACATTCCAGGATTGCGACCAACTCGTCTAAGCACCAAGGGGAATTAGCATAGTTTTTGGAAAAAATTACAATCGAAATCCTTGATTGTTGAACAACTTTGTATATACTAGCGCCGATTTCATCACCTATATTATCCGCTGAAGTATCTCTAAAGGTGCTGAGTACATTCTGATGCAGAGCTTTGAAGAGATGGGCGACAAAACCCCTGCGAGTGTCTTCCCCTCTAAAACTGACGTAAACTTTGCTGAATTGGAGCAATTGATTAAAAATATCTTGCACAACTCCCTCAATAAACTTGGCTTCGTCCCTGTGGAATTTGAAAAACAGTATCGCACAATTTCCTTAAGCCGTAATGCCATATATATTCCAGTAAAACACGTACACAAAATATTGTGATACCGATTTAACAGATCAAATGCCATGAAAAGCTAAAAGAAAGAAAGTAGCTAAATAAAATTACCTATAATCTCGTGAAGCCCAACCGGAAAAATTGGCGGCTTTAGTTAGAGCGGACCTCCAGCTCTGCACCTCATCGATGTTGGCGTTAGAATCGTGATCATGTTGAGCAAAAGCTTTCGCAAAACTTCCAGCGAGTTTACGAAGATCAGACGGATCTATTTGATAGAAAATGGGCACCACTATATGCTTCTCTGTATCCACACGAGCTAGGATATGAACAAGTTGTTTTAAGCACCGCGTGGAAGAAGCATAGTTTTTAGAAAAAACTACAATCGAGAGCCTTGACTCTTGGATAGTTGTCGGGAGCTCCGGATCGTCACCATCAATGAAGGTGTATATTGATTTCTGAACCAGCGCTTTGTAAAGATGGCCGATAAAGATCTTGCGAGTGTCTTCGCGTCTAAAATTGATGAACACATCATATCGACCACCGTATGATACAGAAGAAGAAGAAGAAGCAGCCATTAACAAGCACAATATCGATTCTTGCCAACTGATATAACAACTGAACTACTGGATTGATCTTTAGAGTACCCTATAAAAGGACCGCTGGATATTGGTCCGATCGATAGGAACATGACTGGTCTCGGTCAAAAGCGTGTATGTGTGGACATGAAATATCAATAAAATCCAAGTCAGGCCAGGCCAAACAATATACTTAAAAAATAAAACATCTTTGAATTTTGGTGCAAAAAATAGGAAAATGATTCTCACTTGATCATTTTCCTAGGATCATAAGGATTTCGTAATCTTATTCGTTTATCGTATATCGTGCGGTCAGTTTTTGTTAGATTTTATTTATATGGGTTCTAACAAAATGACATTTTACTACAGTGGTACAAAAAATATACCCTCAAATGACATTTTACTACAGTGGTAAAAAAGAATTGAGTTCTTACATGACAATATGGGTTCAATTCTGATCGATAACTAATCTAACATCTAAACCCAAAACGAAAAAGAAATGCTATATATGTGTTCTCATGTCTGCTTCCAGTAATCTAACAGGAAATTCAATATGGCAACGAAATAACGTGTTATTATTTTTTGCTTTTATAATTTTTTTTATTTGCAAAATGAGGAAAAAAAACAAATGGCTTTATTTGTCATCACCATCTTCTTCCCAAAATAGACTAACATATGTCTATACATTTCGTGTGTATAAATATTTTTTGTTTGTTTTTAAAATAGAAAGGAAAGAGAGAGAGAGAGAGAGAGAGAACATGAGAGTGGGAAGAGAAGTTTTTATTTTTATTTTTTTTATATTAGATATATATTAAAATCACATGTATGTGAGATTTAAATAAAAACAGTAAAATTAGATTTTGTGAAATTACATTATTATACATAACTTTTATTGTGATAGAATACTAAATAATCTTTTCATCATCTTTTGGTTGACAAAGATGATTTTATTAATATGCCGTTTCAACATAACTTCAGTTTGTACTAATATTCCAACTTTGGAGGTCCAAGAATGTGTGAAGAAAAGTTACACAATTTATACGGGTGTATTCAATTGAGAATTTGAGAGACTTTAATAAATTTATAAATTCATGGATTTTTATGGAGTTTAATTGATTTGTAGAGATTCCATATAAAATTTTATTCAATTCCCTCAAAATCTCATGAAGAGAGGTGAGATTTATGGATACTTAAAATACACTACGAAATCTCTCTAATTCCCTCTAATTCCTCAACTTTCTTAAATTCTTTAAAATCAATTTCTAATTAAATACACCTGAAATGCTATAAATTTCTTTAAAATCCTAATTGAATACATCCGAATTTCTAAGGATTTTAATAAACTATCTTAAAATTCTAATTGAATACATCTTGAATTTCAAAGAATCACTTAAAATCCTGATTGAATACCCCTAAATTCATTAAAAAAATTAAAATCCCTCAAAATCCTAATTGAATACACTCCCTTAATTAGGACATGTTTTGAGTGATATTGGGAGAGTAATAATCGCTTTTATGAACAAGTAGATATAATAGGGGTTTCTTAGATATCTATCTTATTTAAGACATATTTTGAAGTGATTTTTTCATAGATAGATATTATTCCTGTGCTGCTTAGATATCTATCTCATTTTTTAGATAATTTTATGGACAAGCAGATATATAAGACGTGTTTCTTCTTGCAAATAAGAGGTGTTTCTTCATGCAACCGATCCTTGAATTAAAATTTAAAATTTTTAATTTAGATAAATTAGAGTTTGATATGGATGTAAATAGATTTTAATATTTTTTGCAAGCTTCAAATTGTGGGACTCAACATGGGGACAGAGTATGAGGATAAGGAAAGAGAAGAGCTGTAATCGTCTATAGGGACTTTACATATTCCAAATTCTTCAACTTAAGAAAATTTTTTTTTTTGAATAAACGATGTTATCTATATTAAGGGAGAATGATGGGTTTAGCCATACAATGAGCTAGCAATAATGTGATTCAAACTCGTGTTTAGCAATAATCGAATCTAAGGGCTCTCACTTACAAGTGAAGAAGAATATCATTAAACCGTAGTACTCACTTACAAGTAGGAATTCCACTAGACTGTAATACTAAGTAACTTCAACTTAAGATTTTGATATGAATGTTATCCATATGAACTGTGTAATATATACTACCAACATCAATCCTTTATTGAACATAAAGAGGTAAATAAATTTTGATATTAATGTAAATATATTTTGATAATGATGTAAATAGACTTTAATATTTTTAAAACATTTTTAAAACCCGCAGCATAGCGCGGGCTCACTTACTAGTTTAAACTGAATTTTTTTTTTTTTTGAACAAAGTTTAAACTGAAATTGAAAGAACACATTGATGTAGCTAGGATTGATCTGCAACCAGGCTTGTATCTCATCAGAATCGTGCTCTATCTCAACTGAATCGTTATCAAACATGGCCCATCTGCAGTCTGGTAAAACGGGGAAGCTCTCTCGAAATATGTTGTACAATGTCCTCAATCAGCTTGGCATCATCGCTACGGAATATGAAAAACAGTATTGGTAGGAGAATTAAACATATACTGACAACTCAAAGTAAACCAAATGTTATGTAAAGCTCAAACCCTTAATAGGTTAAAAGAAACTAAGAAAAACTAAGAACATATTTAGTAAACAAAAATTACTCATAGTTTCGTGAATCCCAGCGAGGTAGAGTTAAATTGGTGGCTCTAGTTAGGGCCAACATCCAGCTCTGCACCTCTTCCATCTCCACCTTAGAATCGCGATCGTGTTTAGTAAAAGCTTCCGGCCTACAAACTTGAGATGGATCAACTTCGTAGAAAACAGGGACCACCATCTGATTATGTTCATCCATGCATTTGAGGATCTGCACGAGTTCTTTTAAGCACCATGTGGAAGAAGCGTAGTCTGCAGAAAAAACAACAATCGAAACTCGCGACTGTTTAATACATTTCAGGAGCTCCGAAAGGCTGTTGCCTTTTCTAAGCTCTTCATCATCCATGAAGGTGTTGATTACTTTTTGATACAGAGCTTTGTAGAGATGGCTGCAAAAACTCTTGCGAGTGTCTTCACCTCTAAAATTGAGAAAAACATCATATTTCCAACCACCGTCAAACGATGACCAGCGGATCAATTTGTTAAAAACACATTGTACGATTTCCTCAATCAGCTCGGCATCATCCCTGTAGATGTGAAATTTGAAAAACAGTACTGCACAATTTCCTCAAGTAGTAATGTCATAAATATTTGTGTATGCATGTATGTACGGTTTCTTTCAATTGAGGAATCTCTTATTCACTTCATTTTTTTTTCAACAATCTGAACAGTCTATATTGTAATATAACATCATTCATAATCATTTTTGCTACAAATTAGATTAATCCGACCCCCTTACTGCTCTTCCAAAAAACAATAGAGAGCGATCACCATAATTCAACAGTCATATGATTTTTTATTTTGGTGATTTTTTTTTTGCAAAACTTATCATTGAGTAAGACCTAAAAGATATATAAAGGGTTTGGACATATACATATACTATACGTATAATAGGATGTGGAAAATTTAATTAAAATTACCTATAATTTTCTATATACCAGCCAAAATAACTGGCAGCAGCAGTTAGGGCTTTCCTCCAAGTGCACACTTCCTCCTCTTCCATTTCGCAGTCATATCTTGCGAAAGCTTCCGCAAAAGGTCCGGTGGCTCTACGAACAACATACGGTTCTACCATAGAAAACGGGCACCAACACCTGGCCAGTCATCTTCACTTGTTCCACCATTTGGGCCAGTTCTCTGAGGCACCGTCTGGAAGAAGCGTAGTTTTGAGAAAAAACTACAATCGAAAGCCTCGACTGTTGGATGTGTTTTCGGAGCTCTTCCGAAAGGCGGTCGCCTCTGCACATATCTTCAGCATCCACGGATGTACTGATTGATTTCTGCTTGAAAGCTCTGAGCAGATGGCTGACAAAACCCCCGCCGGTGTCTTCGCCTCTGAAACTGACGAAGACATCATATTTCCAACGACGGACGTCGTCAGATACTGAAGAAAAAGAAGAAACAGCCATTGATATAAAAACTGCAATACTCGATTGTTGAAGCTAGGAGTTCAACGATTACTGGAAAATTGTACCAGAACAGAAACAACTGTTGACTGGAAAATATGGTCCGATCGATAGGAAGATGAATGGCCTCGATCAAAAGATGCGATTTCTCAGGGAGGAAAAAAAAGTGGCCTAAGAAAGTCAATGAGTCAGTGGCGATGATAATGCGCGTTTTTCTATTAAAAATATGAGCGCGTTTTTTTATTAAAAATAGAGGTATTCATCAATTTCTTCCTTAAATTTGCGATCATTGGCCAATTTCTCCCATCAATTCTCATAATTAGTCAATTTCTCTCATCAACTTTAATTTGGTCAATTCCCTCAACTCTCATAATTAGTCAATTTGCACCCTCCTGTTAATTTTTTTATTTATTTTCCATCTATTTTTTTTTTGTTTTGATCTTTCTAATAACTTCCAACAAAGTACTAAAAGTAACATAAACTCACCTGCATAATATAGGGTAAAATGTACAAAAACATAATACAATTAGTATGTGATATGGGTTGATTATAAGAAAAAGTTATGAATCGGGTTTAAAGCAAGTAGAAGAAGAAATAATAACAAAAAGAAATAATAATCCTAAACTCATGGATCAAGACCTATTTCAATGAAATGAGTTATTCTTAATAAGGAGTCGAAAATTATGAATTGACTAGCTATTTTTGCACTAAAGCTTGATTCTCCGCAATTTACTTGAATTTAGCTTTCACTTTTATAAAGAAAATTGTATTCACATACAAAAATTAACACATCAATCCTTTTTGTTATCAATTTTGTATAGTAAAAAATCAAATAAAATTACTTCATACTGATTTATTATGACTAATAATACTATATATGATAAATTGTAAAATTCTAAATTTTAATCTATTTGTAATAGGATAAAGATATACGAACATGATTAACATATATACATCTTATTTAGTTTTTTACACACACTTATGATCAAATTAAAAAATTAACAGTATGATGCAAATTGACTAATTGTGAGAGTTGAGGGGGAAATTGGCCAAAATTAAAGTTGAGGGGGGAAATTGACTAATTATGAGTGTTGAGGGGGGAAATTGGCCAAAATTAAAGTTGAGGGGGGAAATTGGCCAATGATCACAAGTTCAGGAGGAAATTGATGAATACCTCTTAAAAATATGAACGTTGTTCGATGATGTACTTTGTTGTATTTGATCGAATTTAGGTTGAAAGTACAAAGAAAGAGTGGAAAGGGATCCTCTCCGGATCCCCGATCCCGTTCCACCTAATTCATCAAGTTCGAAAATTCGGATAATTGAAATTTGATTTAACGGTTAAAATTATTATAACTTTTAAAATTGACCCTTATTTGTAGTCATTAGATTAAATTTCAATTATTTAGATCCCCAAATTTAATGGATTAGAATAAAAAGATCCGAAAATGATCCCCCAGAAAGAGTAGGAGTGAAAAGGACAAAACAAATTTGTTTTTTTATAAAAGCACTGACTCGTGGCGAAGCCATAAAAGTCTATCCTTTTATTGCCCCGAATATTTACATAAATATTTCAAACAAAACAAATTTGTTTGGGTTGGGCATAATCGTGTCAACCCATTTAACATTGTTAATAAGGGTTTGTGTTTCCATCCAACCCACCTAATTCGAAAACAACGCACACTTTAGCACGCTTATATAATTACGTAACTCGATAACTCATGTGCGATTCATTTACATGAAATGATAATTTTAATATTTTTCTTTTATGTCAATTTTGTATGCGTATTAGTAATTAATCATATCAGCCTTATGTTGTGTTCATGTCAACACCAACCTAAGACATCTAGAAGAGTTATTAAGACATCATTTGACACATCGTATAAGACAATCGGATAGTATTAATAATACGAAACGGATGTTTGGTGAGCTTCGTATAAAATAAGCACCAGATTATTTAATCCGGCCCCACTTATTTTATACCCCTCCCACCCGCTTATGAATCCCGTCCAAAACCTCTGTATTATTTAGTCAGGTGAGATTTCTCTTGTTCACTCTGTTCCTCTCTCGCATGACTCTCCTTCAACTATCTCACCCGCCTGCTCTCTCTCGTCTGGATCTCAAGTTCATCTTTGTCATCTTCTTTTTTTCTTTCTGTTCCTCCCTCCTCCCTCTCCCTCCTCCCTCCTCCTTCACACACACACACCTCCCACCTCCTCCGTTCGCCTTCGATCTCTAACAGAACAACAATACTTCCGTGGGTTGAAGGAGGAAGATGATGATTCAAATTTTCCGATCTAGGCTCCAACGAGAAGGACGAGGAGGAGGAAGGGAGCTGGGCTCCGACAAGGAAGGGAGCTAGGCTCCGATGATAAAATTTGGTTTATTAGCATTGAAAATATTTAATTTCTGGGAATATTTTTTTTTTGGTTGGTGAATCGATGTGGGTTTTGGGAGATTTGAAGAAATGAAGAAGTGGGTTCGTATGGGAGGGTGGGAATTGATCCGTGGGGAAGATGGTGTAGATAGGAAGACACAACTGGGAACTGGGAAGAGATCTGGGTTTTTTTCTCTTCCTTTTTTATTTTTATTTGTTAATTTTTGTCTGTGTAAAGATGTTTAATTTTTTTTTTCTCACTTGTTTTTCTTCCTTTTTTTTTCATTTTAACAACACTTATCCTGTGAAATTATTTAAAAAAATTATTATAGTCCGACCTATTATCCGATGTATAAATTAATCAGATGCAACATCAAATGCTCGATTAATTTAGTCAGTCATATCCGACGACTATTTATACTGAAATAGTCAGTACAGTCTGAGCTGCCAAACGAGGCCTAAGGGTACTTGATAATATCTTGTTGCTGCAATGGCACTACAACTCTACAGAGTGCTTATGACTTTTGAAAACACCACCTGGTCAGTGATGATCGAGCAGCTAAGACTAAAAGTAATGTACGAAACAGAAATACTAACTCAACTGATCTACAAATTGGATCACCGGAAAATAATCTGATCGATACGAAGTCACTGAGTCAATGCAAATTAGGTCATTACGTAAAAAGGCACAAGATTATGCTTTTTGTGTTCACATCTTCGAGGAAATTTAAGGAAAATAATCTTCTTGCAGGCAAAATTTATATCTACCAACAGCAAAAAATACTGTTCATCATGCTAGAGAGCGTACTGTTCATTAACAGTGAAAGGTAAAAAATACCCTTGGTTTCTGCTTTGGTCTCCGTACTGTTTACAATTTTATAAAGTAAAAAGTCTGTTTAGTCCTTCCCGGCCTTGCGTCTGTCGTCAGCTTTGGATTCGGTTTGTATTGCCTGCTTTGTACAGTGAAAGGGTAAAGTAATGGGTTGTTGGATAAAAAAATAAGATTAAAAAAAATGTAGCACATAATTTCTGGCACGAAAATGATAAAAAATAAAGGAAAACTAATGAAAATGGTTTGAAAATTTTTAAACAAAATAAAGGGTAAAGTGAATAGTATCCGTTTTGACTTTTTAGTGTAAAAATGTGATTTTTCGTTAAAATAAACAGTACCGAGAGCTTTTCGTTAAAACTTCGAAAAAATAATTGGTTAAAAAGAAAAAAAATTATTATAAAATGTGAAAAGCTGGTTTGGTGTGTTTGATTTTTGTTTTCTAATATTTTCTGTACCCCCACTCCCCCATCTCCCAACACTGTCACTCTCTCTCATCCCTCACTGTTCTCTGCCTCTCCCATCTGTCCCCCCTCCCTCTTATCTCTTATCCCTCGTATCCTCCTTCGCATTGATCACTAACAATGGTTGCTAAAACACCCTTTAAATGAATTACTTATACAGGAATGCCTGTTCCTTCCTGATTTAAAGAAAATTTCTCAAGCGACTGTAATTTCATGGTAAGTTGGCTTAAAACAGTTCCAAAATTTGGGATTGTTTGGAATATTTTTAGGTTTTTCTGATTCTTGAAAAAAAACCATGGTTAAGAGTAAATTAATTACTTTTTAATTTTCATTTATTTCAGGTAACCGTCTTCAGTTTTTTGGTTTGAACGCTGGACCAAGCGATCTTTGAAAAAGGTTGATTCTTGAATATTTTTATTTATATCCTTTTGGTTGTTTGAATAGACTTCCTGTAATCTAAATGAAGCTAAATTGAATATCTGTTTTTGTATGCTGTATTTGCTTTGTTAAATTAGTTCTTTTTTGTTGAAAAATGTTATTTGGTTTTGCAGATCAAAGAGGTCAAGGCGGTGGAGGAGTGGGTTAATGGTTATATGTTCTTGAGTATCTTCTTTTATTTTAGTTTTTCCTAGCCCAGGGAATTTGTGCAGATGTTTGTTGGAAGAGGAGCAGCTCGCATTAGAGACCTTTTCAATTTGGCAAGGAAACATCACCGTCAATTATATTCATTGATGAGCTTGATGCGGTTGGAACGAAGCGTGGCAGAAGTTTCAATGATGAGCGTAACCAAACATTGAAACAGGTAATATAAGGTTCAATTCTGGCTTCAATCCTGCATTTCTCGCATCCATTCAAAGTTTAAGCGGTCACATGCTGAATGTCTTCTGGAATTGTTAGTATATAATTTGATCTGTGGGCCATTATTTGTATTTCCAAACTTTTTGAAAATTGTCAAATCACTGTAGTTGGGAAGACTCTTTTGTTCTCCTGTTTGATGGGAAAATAATAAAGAATTATACCGAAAAAATTATGTTACTGTTTATTTTAATAAAAAATTATATTTTTATATTAAAAAATCAATTCTGGTACTATTTATTTTATCTTTTATTTTTTCGTTAAATCTCAAAGTTTTCAAACATTTTTTATTAGTTTTCCTAAAATAATATTGGTCCCTTTAAAATCTTGCCAACTTTTCTTGCTTATTTGCTGTGCTATTAGCTTATACTTTCACCTTCAATCTTAGAACATTTTTGTATTTCCTTTAATGTCCTTAGTTTTGTTTTCAATTTCCTTAGTTTTGTTTTCAATTTTCAAGTCTAAATAGCTATCAAGTATCAACACGTTAAATTAGCTTATTGTTTCGATTATGCTGTTATGTACAATAGTAGAAGGCAGTATTAAGTATTAACCACCAAATTTGAGCAGTTTGTGTTACCAGGTTAGTCATTTTCATGCTTATTATTTAATCACGGACATTACTCTAACGTGTTCAATCGGTATCATAATTTTTGATAAGTGCATATGCCCATTGAACGCATCAACTTAAATATATATATGTGACTGCTTGAATTGGGAATCAAGGCTGCTGTAAGGAAATTTGAGCCTTAGCCTGTAGAGATACGATTTTGCAAGGAAGCTAGGTACCTTCTAGACTTATTGGACGTGAAGATTTGTATGATCGAATTTGTGATTAATATACTTGGATTTTATTAAATTTTTCATGATTTTATAGAGTTTTTCGTTTAAATTTGTGGGTTTTGAAAAATTCTTCATTAAATTTCTGGGTTCTTTTGATGTGGATTTATGTGAGATTAATCAACTGCAATGTCAGATATGATAATAGGTGGGCATGTTCATATGTTTTCCAATGTTCTCTTATCAACTCTTAGTGTTGAAATAGTCAGCTATTAATGATGGATTAATCAAAGTTGGGCATGAGTTCATATGTTTTTCAATGTTTTTATAAAAACAATGCAATTTTCACTTAGTTTTGTGTAGAATAATGGTGTTTTAAGTAGAACAGTGGGAGATTCATTTGTGATCATTTGAAAATAAATTCTGAATACTACACTACCATTCTGCTTAAAGCACCCCAATACATGCATAATTTGAACGAATATGTAAGGGTTACTTGAGAAACTAACAGCATACAAAATTTAAATGATTCTATTTGTTTCTATCTTTTTCTGGATTTGTCTGCTATTACGATTTGTTTTGGCTTTTTTTTAAATTCAAAAAACTTAAAACTGATTTTGTTTGCCCGCGATTTGTTATGAGGTATTGCTATAACATGGAGAAATTGACACTGATTCTATTATTATGTGTACATCAGTTTGTAATATCTAATCTTAAAATATATACATTTTTTATTTTTTTGATTGTCAGAACGAAGAAGAAGGCATTCAAATTAAAATCATAACTTGCATCAATATAGAAGTATAAATTTATCCAATTGTAAATAGGAATGTAAGCCCCATCGTTGAACACCTAATATGGTTGTATATATGTATCAAACTCAGCAGAAAAGCGTATAAAACATGTATCAAACACAACAGGTACATATGTATCAAACTCAGTTGATATAATCTCTGGTTTGATTTGAAATTCATTACAAATATCTATTTTTTTGTGCTTTGTCAATCTCTCTAATAATTTTTTTACACCTTACTGAGTTATGTTAAGATTTATGTTTAGAATAAAGTGGTTCCACAAAACCTGTAAAGTGGTTCCACTAAAGTAGTTCCACAAAATCTGCAAAGTGGTTCCACAAAACCTGCAAAGTGGTTCCACAAAAATCTGCAAAGTGGTTGTTATCTCGATTGCAGCAGTAGATTGTTAATTAGTTTCATTCATGATGAGGTTGTGTGTAAATTGCATTGGTTGCATTGGCGTTCGTAATTCAATTTTTGACTCGAACATTGTTTATAAAAATTGCAGTTGCATAATCTTTCATATAATTTTCAACCCCGCAGCAATGCACAGGCATAAATTTTAGTTGACTTCTAAAAATAAAAAACAATAACGTTCTTCCAGGAATGGATATAAAAAATTTCAGTGTGAAACGAAGCTGCATACTTCGGCCGTAGAAATGCGAAGGAAGGGTGGTTTAGCAGCTTTGCACGAAGGGACCAGGCCAAAGTACGCTAAACTGGTTTTGAAATTCAGCGATCTTACTGCCCCTTCTTTTTATTTATTATTAAATTTTAGAGTAGAGCCGTATTGGCGGTTTAGGTAATTAGATATTAAAGAAGAAGAAAATTCGTAAAGATCGACACATCAAGGTGTATAAGCATTACTATTTTTTGTTGTTGTGGTAAAGTGTCATCTGCAAATCTCTATAAGTTTAATTTGTATGACTGTATTTTTAGTGAATAATATTCTATATTAATCTACACTTCTTTTTTTGTTAAAGAAACCTCGACTGTGCGAGGTGAAATTTTATTGAAACAAAAAGGTAAATACAACTCTAGTGTAACCAAACAAAAATGTAAAAATATATATATATATATATATATATATATATATATATAAGTGTATACGAATCTACACTAACCAATATTTGTTCAATTATGTTGAATCTGCACTTGCATACCTAACACCCTCTTTATGAAACGAAAATGATCTCAATCTCCCCAATCACATGAAAAGTGAGTTAAGGTGACCAGAATATCTCCGGTTAAGTGTAAGCATCTCATATACGTGTCATATCCAACCGCATAGTAATCATAAAACGGACGATTAATGGTTCTTTGACTTTTAATCTAATGAGGGTAATAACAATTCTACTCTGAAATCTTTGGTATATATGCTGTTAGCTACAAAACTTGTTTACTCAATAAAAACACACATTGCAATTAATTCACGAAAAAAAAAGAAACAAAAATCCAGTGCAGGATTTATAGTGGTGGCAGCGACACTACAACAATAGGGCTTCTCACCCTGTGCACTCCTATCCTTCCACACCAACCCTCCGAAATAAAAACCCATTGCAGGAGAAAAATGTAGCCTAAGAAAGTCGATGACAAGAATAATGCGCGTTTTTCTATTAAAAATATGAAAGTTGTTGGATGAGTACCTTTTATTGTATTTTTGTTCGGATGTACCTTTCATTGTTTTTGTTCGAATTTAGGTAGAAAATGCCAAGAAAGAGTAGAGGTAACCATTTTTGATAGATTCGACAATCCGACTTGAAAAGGACAAAAAATAAATTTGTTTGAGTTGGGCATAATCGCGTTGATCCATTTAACATGGTTAATAAGAGTTTGTGTTTCCATCCAACCCACCTAATCCGAAAGTGAATTACACTTTAGCACGCTTACACAATCGCGTAACTAGATAATTTGTGTGCAAGTCATTTAAGTTGAAAATGATAAGTTTAATCTTGTCCTTTAATGTAAACTTTGTATTCTTATGAGTAACTAATAGTGATGCCTTTGGGTTGTGCTCATGTCGAGAAGTTTTTTCGTGTGAATGACACACTACTTGGTACACAAGCATGATAATACAATTCGTTAGAATTTTTTTTTTTGCAAGTTTTCAACAAATTATATTATTAAATTTGGTCTACTGAACTAAGTGCCCATCATATTGAAAAATCTCATGTTCATGTCAACACAAACCTGAGACATTTGGAAGAGTAATTAAGGGTACTTTGGTATTTATGTCTTGTGACTGCAAAGTTACTACAGCTCTACAAAGTGCTTGGGACAATTGAAAACAATGCAGAAACACGTCCTCCATATTCAAAATTCATACGGGACGGAACTGGGCGATTAAAAACTTAATTATTCTAATTAATCTTGTTCTGATGAGAAACATAAATGTGTTCGCAACTGAATTCTTCAATTTCAGCACTTGGAGCTATTTCTCTTGTTCTAATGTTGAATTAACATTACAACAAGCTCCTCTCCACCTCTGAATGCTGAATTAACATTACAACAAGCTCCTCTCCACCTCTGTCAATGTCAGATTAGATGACTCAAATGATCTGAATTGGGACTTCCAAATACAAGAAGCTCTTCTCCACCTTCACTGGGTTCAAAGTGTTGTGCGGAAGCGCTAATTTGAACCCAATAAACTAATACGGAAAAATATGACAAAACAAACAAATTCAAAATGACACAAAGATTTATACTGGTTTGGCGTAAGCCTACATCCAGTTCGGGGACAGCGAGGAAGTTCCACTAATAAACAAAGGGAGATTACAAAGAGTGCTCTCAAACTCAAACCCAAAACACCCAAATACACTTACAAATAGAAGAGGGAAAGAACGAATTACAAACAAAATTGTCTCTCTGCAACTAAAACAATCTCTAATTGGTTTCACTCTTACAGAACCTTAAATGCAGCAGCTCCCAATTATTTCTCTTCAGTTTTCCTTTCCCCCCATCAGGAAGTACCAATCTTTTAGACCTAAATCCTCCGCGTCAGGGGTATCACTTCCACTTTGTTCAGCCCCGTTATAGCAACACCCCTCAGGGTTCATCTTAGAATGAGCAACTCTTGCCAGTGATTTGTCAAAAGCATGAAGTTCCGCTTCAGAATTTTCATGATAGATAGTCGGGCTGTGTCATGCTTCAATTATGCAACTCTTCACGATTGGCATAAAAGAGACGAACTCCACACCTTCTGATGTGATGCTGCTGAACTGGTGCCACAAAATCACGTGTTTGGACTCCATCTTTTAGTTCAACTCTAAATGTGGCCTCAGTGGGATAGCGCTCACTTAGCTGCACTCCATTTTCCCATGGAATATATACCATGAACATGTGATCTGACTCAAGTAACCTGCCACATGCGAAGCTCCAATCAATCAAATCAAATCTGAAACTGCACTCGCCATGCTCTCCTTTGAAGGTACAAAAACACGGAGCAGATAGATCAGATGTATAATGTGTATACTTGAACTTGGTAACAGCGCACACAGCGAATCCCAAAATCTTATGATCCGACACTGGTGGTAGATGGACAGTTACTGAAGATCCAACACACTGATGGCTGAACCAATCTGAAAGTTTACTTCCAGGAAGACACATAAACAAGGAAAGCGGTTGCAGATTACCCTACAGAACGAAAACAAAGGTAAACTGAACTTGCATTAGATATGTTTTGTCTTTTCACACCCCGGGGGGGGGGGGGGGGGGGAGGGGTGAGGGAGAGACAGAAAGAGAGAGAGAGAGAGAGACCTGATGAGCTTCCACAATATATTCAAATTGATTTTGCACCAGCTGGAAGCAGTTTGAAAATGTGAAGTAAAGATTCATGTAAGGAAGCTTTGGTCTTGAAACAGATTCCAAAGCTGTGCAATCATGGGCATCTATGAAACTTATACTTGATGAAAGCTCTGGTATTGATTTCAGTCTCTTGCAACCTTCCAATTTGAGATCTGTTAAACGATGAAGTCGATTCATTTCTGCAGGCAAACTCTCAAAATTGTTTCTGCACAGGTCTAATGTTTTCAATGATGACAAATGAGCAATACCAGATAATTGCAACAGATTGCAGTCACTTAAATCAAGATATACCAGACCACGGTGACTACAATCTTCCATTGATGTTGACCATGATGAAAAGGGTGCCGTCATTTCTTTACATCCATGACATGATAACTTTGTAAGCTTGTTCAAACGTAATAAAGAAAGTGGGAGTTGTTTTATACCACTTCCCTCTACTTCAAGGTTCCACAAGGACTCTAACTTTCCCAACTTCTCCGGCAAGTTTTGAAGCTTTGAGCATCCAGAGAGAGTGAGAACAGTAAGGGAAACCAAATTACAGAGATCCTCTGGAAGACTGCCAAGGCTTTTGCAGTTTCTCAGATTCAGTAACACAAGCCCATGAAGACATTCAATTGACGGTGGAATTCTTTTGATAGATGTTCCGTGCAAGTGAAGTTCTCTTAGTCGCATCTTTTCTACAATATTTGGAAACACCTCAAACTTTGCACAACCAGAAAGACCAACATACTGAAGGGACTTGAGATCACAAATGCTGCTTGGAAGACTCTTAAGTTTTTTGCAATCTCTTAGTTTCAATGATAAAAGCCTTGGAATGTTTCTAATTGATGAAGGCAGTTCTTTAATTGCAGTCCCATCTAAATCAAGCTCTGATATCTTCTCCATAACATCTGAAATCTCTGGAAACTTCTCAAGGTTTGAGCAACCAGACAGATTAAGGGTTTGAAGAAATCTCATATGAATGTTGCTCGGCAGGCTCTTGAGTTCTTGACACCCAAATAGGTCCAAAACAGTAAGGCCCGTGAGTTTATTAATTGACGAAGGCAATTCTTTAATTGCAGTCCCATCTAAATAAAGCTTTGATAGCTTCTCCATAACATCTGAAATATCTGGAAACTTCTCAAGGTCTGAGCAACCAGAAAGATTAAGGGTTTGAAGAGATCCCATATGAATGCTGCTCGGCAGGCTCTTGAGTACTCGACAGCCTCTTAGGTCCAAAATTGTAAGGCCCGTGAGTTTATTAATTGACGAAGACAGTTCTTTAATTGCGGTCCCATCTAAATGAAGCTTTGACAGCTTCTCCATAACTTCTGAAATCTCTGGAAACATCTCAAGGTTTAAGCAACCAGAAAGATTAAGGGTTTGAAGAGATCCCATGTGAATGCTGCTCGGCAAGCTCTTGAGTTCTCGACAGCCTCTTAGGTCCAAAATTGTAAGGCCCGTGAGTTTATTAATAGACGAAGACAGTTCTTTAATTGCAGTCCCATCTAAATGAAGCTTTGACAGCTTCTCCATAACTTCTGAAATATCTGGAAACACATCAAGGTTTGCGCAACCAGAAAGATTAAGGGTTTGAAGAGATCCCATATGAATGCTGCTTGGCAGGCTCTTGAGTTCTCGACAGCCTCTTAGGTCCAAAATTGTAAGGCCCGTGAGTTTATTAATTGACGAAGACAATTCTTTAATTGCAGTCCCATCTAAATGAAGCTTTGACAGCTTCTCCATAACTTCTGAAATCTCTGGAAACATCTCAAGGTTTGAGCAACCAGAAAGATTAAGGGTTTGAAGAGATCCCATATGAATGCTGCTCGGCAGGCTCTTGAGTTCTCGACAGCCTCTTAGATTAAGGGTTTGAAGAGATCCCATATGAATGCTGCTCGGCAGGCTTTTGAGTTCTTGACACCCACATAGGTCCAAAACAGTAAGGCCCGTGAGTTTATTAATTGACAAAGGCAGTTCTTTAATTGCAGTCTCATCTAAATGAAGCTCTGACAGACTCTCCATAACATCTGAAATATCTGGAAACTTCTCAAGGTTTGAGCAACCCGAAAGAATAAAGGTTTGAAGAGATCCCATATGAATGCTGCTCGGCAGGCTCTTGAGTTCTCGACAATCTCGTAGATTCAATACAGCAAGGCTTTTCAGAGCTGAAATAGATGGGTCAACCTCATATAACCCTGTACAACCTTCAAAATTTAGTTCCTCAAGACTTGTAGCCTTTGTGAAGTCGGGGGTTTTCTTAAGGTATTCACAATAACTTAAATTGATGAATTTCAACTTTTCCAGAGGCTGTTAAAAAGTCCAAGAAAACATGCACAACACATCTCAGAACCTAAACATTGAAAATAAATATATTTACGTAAATGAAAAATCATACCTCAGCTCCTTTCCAAAGTTGTTCGATGCAACTATTCATCATGTCAAGGTTTACAAGATTCTTGAACTGGAAGTTGGATGGCCAAGACTTGAGGGGGCAACCACGCCAGACGAGACACCTCAGCTGAGAAGATTGGAACTTTAAGTCCGCAATCCAGTGTTCTATGAAGCAATCACGGATCATGAGCAGTCTTAGTTTTGTCATACTAACAAAAGCTTCAGCATTTGAGCATCCCTCTTTAAAGATTGCTGAATCCAGGATTATGCCTTCAACTGCTTCTGTAGCCTGGATAAACCAACAATGTAAATCTAAGTGAAGGAAAACACCAAGAACCTTATTGAATATTATAAACAATGCATGTTTGCTATAAAATAGATTTCGGTCAAAAGCTGAAGCTTTCTACGAAACATTGCATATGAAAAAGATCTCACTGTATTTTGAGTCAGCACATGACGAACATCTTCATAACTCCACAACCTACTTCTTCTCCCAGGCTCTTTGATACATTCTTGGCGAACGATTTCCCGACCCATTTCCTCTAGTAAATCATGCATCTCCAGTGTCCCCCACATTGAGACAGATATTAGAGCTCGATCAATTAGAACTCTTATTCCAGTATGAGGATAGAAGCCACAACTGTCCAGACTTTTTTTTGCTGTGTCTATATCCATTCCTTTGAAGAAACATGCAATATCTAGAAAGATGTCCTTCTCTGAATCATCTAGTCCATTGAAGCTTGTTTTAAGCACATCATGAATTCCCCTTTGCGGGATCTTCCTTATTTTTTCTAACACATCTTCCCACTCGCGTACAGTTTTGTTATGAAGAAAAGCTCCCAAGACTTTGAGTGCTAAAGGCAGATGTTGAGCGTATTGTACGACATGCCTTGAGAGCTGATCATAAACTTTGGTGGGCTGGTTTGTTCTGAAGGCATACCGCTTGAAGAGTTGAAGAGCTTCTGGCTCACTTAAGTTCTTGGGCTTATAAACCGCAACAGCTCCACTTAGTAATTGCCTATCTCTAGTTGTTATAATGACCCGACTTCCACTGCCAAATGAATGCTGCTTTCCAAGTAAGCCTTCGATTTGGGATAATTCATCAACGTCATCAAGAACAATGAAAACCTTTTTCCTTTGTAGCCTTTCCATTATCACTCTGGAACCTTGATCCAACGTGCCTAAACTCTGCACCTTTTCCTTCAAGATTCTAGAAAGAAGCACTTCCTGCATATGTACTGCACCATTTTTCGAGAAGCCTTCCTTGACATTTTCGAGAAAGCAGCAAGCTTCAAATTGACAAGCGATTTCATCATAAACAGCGTGAGCGATGGTGGTTTTGCCTATACCTCCCATACCCCATATTCCAACAGTGAAAACATCATTCACCTCAGGACGTAATAGTGAATTCACTTCATCCATGTGGTAATCCATTCCAACCAAGCCATTATCTTTGCTTGACGAGACTTGGTTCAATCTCTTAAATATGTCATCCACAATTTCCTCAATAAGCTTGGCATCATCCCTGTGTAATTTGAAAAACAGCACCGAATTAAACTAGATGCTTTAACAATCCCAATTCAATAGTAATTAAGAATATAATTGAACAGTAATTACTCGTATTTTCGCGAATCCCATCCGGATAAATTGGTGGCTCTGGTTAGTGCGGACCTCCAGCTCTTCACCTCTTCCATTTCGGCGTTCGATTCGCGTTCGTGTTGAGCAAAAGCTTCTGCAAAACTTCTCTTGAGCTTGCGTACTTCAGATGGATCGACTTGGTAGAAGATCGGCACCACTATCTGATTCTTTGTATCCATGCACGCCAGGATTTTGACCAGTTCTTTCAAGCACCACGTCGAAGAAGCGTAGTTCTGGGAGAAAACCACGATCGAAAGCCTTGACTCTTCGATGGCTGAAAGGAGTTCCGAAAGGTCGTTGCCTTTTCTGAGCTTTTCCGCGTCGATGAAGGTGTTGATTGCTTTCTGATTCAGAGCTCTGTAGAGATGGCCGGCGAAGATCTTGCGAGTGTCTTCGCCTCTGAAATTCAGGAATACGTCGTATTTCCATGAGGAAGAGGAAGAAGCAGCCATTGACATCTGACAGGGACAGTATCCACAGCAGATGGTCAGCTACCAGTGCGGCGATGGGGACGACGACTCCAACAGCTTCTCTGCTGCTGGGGTTTTGTTGTTCTTTGAGCTTTGTTTCTGTTTGGGCCTAGTCTCTGTTTTTAGGGCCTTGTTTTGCTCCCTTGTGTTTTTTTGTTTGTTTGTTTTAAAGAAATATTAATGGAATGTTCACTTGACCAAAACCAAGAAGAAGAAAAAAAAAGTAATGTTAAGAAAATTAAATTTTTTAAGTTAAATTTATAAATTATGTTATAGTTGTAGATGATTAGATTATTCATTAAATGTCGATTAATGTGATGTTTTTAATTAATAACATATCATTTAACTTGCAAATTTAGTTTAAAATTTTGATTTCCTTAACATTATTATAAAAAAATTCAACAAAAAAAAAAATTATTATAAAAAATATATATAATTTTATAAAATTTGAAAGTAAAAACTCTATAAAATGGTCGGGAAGTCAAATGAGTCAACGAAAATGAGTTTCTTTTTACTAGGTGGTTTCCTAGCACTATCCCAAAAAAATGTAATTCCATAAAATTTGAAAGAGAGAAATCTATGTAAAATGGTCGGAAAGTCAATGAGTCAACCACAATGAGTTTCTTTCTACTAAGTTTAGACATAAAAATAATAATAATTTATCTTCACTATTGCAACTTAATATTACGGTCTAGTAGTATTACTTTTTACTTCTAATTCCTCGTTAAAGATGAATTTGAATTATGTTATTGCTAGCTCATTGTGATGCTAACTTCACCATTCCTCTTAGTACAGATAATATCACTTGTTAAAAAAAAAAATTATTGTTGGGAAGCCAAAACTTTTCTTTAAAGTCACAAGGTTTCACAAGAAACAATTGGACTAAAAAAAACCCTGAATTAAAAAAAATCCAAAACTAACGTGAAAATTTGATTTCTCATCTCCAAGGGTATTTTTGTAAAAAAAACATTAAAACAAACCAGAAAAATTACCAAAAAAATAAGAAGAAAAAAGGGGGGGGCGGAATATGAAAAATAATAATAAACTTTGTTGGAACATTACTAATGCTAAAAAGGCATTATTTTTATTTTTATTATAACTAAACTACATATTAATAAAAATTTCTTTGTCTATTAAAAGATGATGAAAAGATTATTATTACAATAAAAAAGTTAAAGGCAATAACGTAATATTACAAACAAAATTATAATCCTTTCTCTCCTCACTCTCACGTTCTCTCTCACTCTCTTGCTGCTCTTCTTTAATTTTAAAACAAAAACAAAAAATTCACACATGGTTTGTGCGTAGCATATTCTAGTAAATTTTAAATAACAGTTTAGTAATTAAAAATTGAAAAGAAATAACCGCTTCTTACTGAGAAGTTAATGGCTTTTTTTGTTGAATTTATTCTAAATATAAAATTAAGCCAATTTAAAAAAAAAAGAATAAAGTATCCAAAAAAAAAATCAAATGCAAAAGAAAGAGGCTAGTAATAAAATAAGGGTAGTGCTATTCACACATATTTTTTACCTCTCACATATTCTTATTAATTTTTTCATTTGATCTTCTTCAACTTATTTGATTAGACTGCCGAAAATCGAGAGAAATGTGTGAAAAGAAAAAATGAGTGTCTAAATAACATCATTTTAAAATAATTCTTCAACATATTGGGAAATTCAAATACGAATTGGACTAGCCTGGTTTTAAATTTTTAAAAGGCCCATCATAATGAGTCCAAATAGGCCCACGGCCCGCCAGCATTAATGTGTTTTTTTTTTTATCATCAAAAGAAAATCCCATTTTATGAGTTTAGTTTGTAAGGGTGAAGCCATCGTGATTAGAATTCAGTAGCATAAGCTGTTCATGACGGTATTGATCCAAATTGTACTCAAACAGTTCGGAGAAAAACTTGTGTATAACTGGAGACATATCCAAATTGAAATATTCACACAATTAGTGAGACATCTCGAATATCAAATGCACTTGATCCGTTGGACAAGTTGAAATTTCGGTAAGGGATAACCTACCATAAAATCTTCATATTTATGCGGTTACAAATATCGTGGATCTCGATTCCTACAACATGTCGTGTTTAAATTTGATTTGTTTCGTGCATGTCTGAAATTATCATCCTGCAAAAACTACCAGAACTCCTACTAAGTGCTTATGAGTCGTGGCTTATAAAAATAGTGCAGAAACATGTGAATCAATATGGAAATTGAGCAAATTAAGAAATTATTCTGATCTAGTTCTCAATCTTCTAATTAACAACATCAATGTGATTTGAACTTGCTTAATCTACGTTTTCACTGCACATCGTTGTTTCGCCCGTGTTCTAAGGTTGACAGTAGCTAGAAGATCACAGCAAGAAGCAGAGGAAGGATACTAACTATTACAGAAAATTTGTTTATTCAAAAAAGCATTAATAAAAACACACATTGAAATTAATCCGGTGCAGGATTTATAGTGGTGGCAGCCACACTACAACAATGGGGCTTCTCACCCTATGCACTCCATCCTTCCACACCAACCCTCCGAACTCCGGGACTGCCTGCCGGGATTTCGTAGTGAAGATGATTTTGTATGACAGCTTCTGATTGGCTTTGGTGAATTTCAGCGTCCGAGGCTCGACTTTCACATAAGCACCTTTGAACGGTGAAACAATGGCGTGGTAATTCGAAACCGCAGGGCCAACGTTAGTGACAGTTCTGTGAAGTGTCAAAACAGAAACATTTGTTCTCTCCGGGAACACAACCGAAAGTGCCGGATAGTTCAACTCCCCGGGACTGGCTAGATTGTTCTTGCAACTTCTGTTTGAGTACTTGGTAAAAACTTTGAGCTGGGTTGGTGTTAGCCTTTGTGTGCAGAGGAATTCAAGATAGTCCTGCGCCTCAATGTCGTAAATCAATCCCAGGTCAAGAGCCCTAACCGGGTTTATGTGCCCTGCACCGTGATCATACGGGGTTGAAATTGAAGCTGCTGAGGAGTCTTGTAGAGGCTTTCGCGTGTTGTCGTGGACATACGCGGTTGTCATCAAGGCGGACTTTATTGCAGCCGGACTCCAATCCGGGTGCCTTGCCTTGAGTAGAGCGGCAATGCCGCTCACATGGGGGCAGGACATTGAAGTCCCGGACAGTATATTGAACTTCACCCTTCTACGATCTGCTGGCAAGCTGGACGGGCCCAATCCGCCTGTCCAAGCGGCGATGATGTTCACTCCTGGTGCCACCATATCCGGCTTGAGAATATCAAGGCTTACCAGATTAGGCCCTCTGGATGAAAACGCTGCCACCACAGGCGACGGTCTAACCCCAACTCTAGTTCCAAGAAATGTTAGAGTTGCGGTGGCTCTCGGGCTTGTTGAAGCATAATGCTTGATTCCCTTTGCTTCGTTCTCTCCCACAGCAACCGCCGGAACAAGGTGGCAATCCGCCACAAGCTCCTCTCCGTTTGCAGCTATGTTTGCCAAGATCATCCCAACTCCTCCGGCTTTTTTCACCACTTCTCCCTTCTGCACTCTAGGACTAATCCCACGGTCGCAAATCACAATCTTTCCGGCCACAACTTGGCGATCCAACGTCCCCTCCAAACTGAGCGAGCTCGGATTATGAATAGTTGAATTGCTTCCCAAATACACAACAGGGTATTGCTTGTTTGTTGACAGCTTCATCCTTCCCCTGTAGAGCGAAACCCCGGTAATAGTCCTGCCATTTCCGAGCTTCACGGTAGCTGGAAAATCCCTATCTCCAACCGTGGTTATCCAGGGCGACACATTGGTCAGACTAACACGAAGTTCCACTTCAGGGTTTTCATGATGATTTTTTAGGCTGCGCCATGCTTTGGTTTGCACCTCCGCACGGTTAGTATATAAAGAAACGAACTCCGCATCTTCTGATGTGATGCAGCTGTGTTTGCCCAAACCATATACCTAGTACGTCTTCTCCGTCTTTCACCACCAGTCCCTTCTATGCATTACGATTAACCACACGGTCACAGATCACAAAGTTTCCGCCAACAGAGCGTGGATCCAAAGTTTCTTCCGAGCTCAAGGAGCTGGGATTAGGGTTTGTTGACTTACTACGGATATACACAATAGTCAATAGACAACACAAGCATCCCCGCATCTCTATAAGTTGCAAGCTTCCAATTTGAGAGTTGTTAAACAACAAATCGATTCAGTGTTGCAGATAAGCTCTCAAAAAGATTTCTGCAAGCTTTAATATATATTTACAAGGAAGATAAATGGGGAATACCATCCGAAACCTCCAACAGTCACTTAAATGAAGAATTTCAGGCCAAAGTGACAAAAATCTTTCACATTAAAAGTAGGTACCTTTTATTCTCGGAATCAGAAGCGTTCCTACATATCTTTGAAGCTTACATGAGGTAAAGTAGAGAAGAGTAGATATTACAACCTTGTATTAAACCAATCTGGCAACGCATTAAATGATTAAGCCTATTGGAAGATGTTTCCAACTCCAACAAAGTATACGTGTCTACAATTGTTTTCCCTTTCATCAAGCAACCTGCACAAAGTATAAATCCACTGCTTCTGTAGCCTAGATAACCAAACAGTAGAAATTCAATGAGTGAAAATATCCAAATTTGATATTTATCATACTTCTGCTTTCTACTCAATACTACATGCTTAAAAGAAAGAGGTAATGAATTTATCTCACCGTATTTTGCGTTTATACACGATGAAAATCTTCATAAATCCATAACCTGCTTTGTCTTCCAAGATCTTTATTAGATTCTTGGTGGACTATTTCCCACCCCATATTTTGCAGTAAATCATGCTTCTTAAGCGTATCGTAATCTGATATAGTGATGAGAGTTCTATTAATTAGTACTCCTAATCCACTATGGGGATAAAAGCCACAACTATCAAGAATTTTAGTTACATAGTCTTTCTCCATCCCTTTAAAGAAACATGCAATATCTAGAAATATATCCTTCTCTGAGTCATCTAACCCATCAAAGCTCTTTCTAATAACATCCTGAATTCCCATGAGCTGGGTTTTCTTTGTTTTCTTCAACACATCTTCCCACTCCAATACACTTCTGTCATCAAGCAAAGCTCCCAAGACTTTAAGCGCTAAGGGCACACCATGAGCATGTTGTATGGCAAGCCTCGAGAGACGATCATAATCTCTTGTGGGTTGGTTGGTTTTAAAGGCATACTGGCTGAAGAGTTCAAGAGCTTCAGGCTCATTTAATTTCTTGGGCTTATATACAACATCGGCTCCACTTATCAATTGCATATCTCTTGTTGTTATAATGATTCTACTTCCACCACCAAATGAATGCTGCTTTCCAAGTAAGGCTTTGATTTGGGATAATTTGTCAACGTCATCAAGAACAATGAAATTTTTTTTTCCTTCGTAGCCTTTTCATTATCATTTTGGAACCTCGATCCAACATGCCTAAACTCCGCACCTTTTCCTTCAATATTCTAGAAAGAAGTGTTGTGCCTTGGCCGTTCGTCAGTGTGGAAGTGAGATTTAGATTGCCTCACCAAACTACAGACCCACAGTTGAACAGTTTAAATTACAAGAAATAAATACACTGAGAAATTTACGAGGTTCGGCAAAAATCTGCCTACGTCCTCCAAGAGATATTGCTCTTCACTATGAGAATAACTAATACAATATACACTTGAGTTAAATCAACATAACCCAAACTCCAATCCCTTGTACCCTTACAAAATTTTACTAAGAGCTTCACTCTCCCCAAGAGTTTCTCACTCTCGCTCTATATTTTCTCTCCTTTGTGTTCTCCTTCGGATGCTCTCTCTCACACCCTCTCCTCTTCGGCTCTTTGCAGCTAAATGGAGAAGAAAAATGAATCAACCTTTCCTTTTTCCACAGACATAATGATGATGCATCATGCTCCCTTTGCCTTTTACTCAAACCCCAAAGCCACTCACGCGTGGCATGCAAATGGGAAACCAAGAAAAAAGGCCAAAACAAAAGAATCCCAAGCAAACATCATCATTGTCTTCCACTATTAGCCGAAATGAGATATGGCCACATTTGGTCACTACTCCGAAAGCATAACACACAAAGTCACTTAATTGTTAATTGCTCAAAATATGAGCCAATCACAACAAGAAGCACTTCCTGCATATGTACTGCACCAGTATTTGAGAAGCCTTCCTTTAACATTTTCAAGAAAGCAGCAAGCTTCAAATTGACAAGCAATTTCATCACAAACAGTGCGAGCAATGGTGGTTTTGCCTATACCTCCCAAACCCCATATTCCAACAGCGAAAACATCATTCGCCCCAGGACGTAATAATAACTTCATTTCATCTATGTGGTAATCCATTCCAACCGAGCCATTGGCTTTGCTTGATGAGATGTGGATCAATTTGCTAAAGATATCCTCTACAATATCTTCAATAAGATTGGCATCATCCCTGTGAAGGTTTAGAACCAGCATCGCGAAAGAGTCAAAGCAAAGCTGAGTTTTATAACAAGCCCAAAATAGAAAACTAAAACTGAACAATTAGAAGGGCAATACTTGTTGTGACTAAAACCCCGGATTTGTACAGTAAAAATACGTTAATTTTCTTGATCATAAATATGCAAAAACTAATCAAATTGGTGAACGCTTAGCCATCTATATGTAAGGAAGTTAGTTGTGATCAAAACCGTGGATTTATACTGTCAAAATACATTAATATCAAGTGCATGCGGACAAATTAAACTCACTTACAATATTTTGAATCCCAACCGGATAAATCGGTGGCTCTAGCAAGAACAGACCGCTAGCTCTGCACCTCCTTCCTGTTAACGTTAGAATAACTTTCATGTTTAGCAAAAGCTTCTGCAAAACTTAATGCAGAACGAAAAAGAGATAGAGGAGGTGTCAAAAAATACACGAGGCTTGACAGAAAAATGATAGAAGAGCAATACTTAATTCTTGGTTACCATAAAATTATAATTCCAAATTGTCCCCTTTAGCATATTAAACTCCCTCCCTAATATACTAGTGTGTCAAAACATCTTCATCAATGCAAATACAACTCCCTAAGCCCCCGAAACATAATAAATGACAATTGTTCCACCTAGCCACTTAATTTTGCATCAAAATTACTGCAAAACATTACATCACAACCTAAGATACATGAATCTCAAATTAATAATTAACGGAATGGCTGAACACCAAAATACCAAAAGCCCCGTTGAATAAACTCCTTATGCACTGCATCAAAACTTCCCTCCAGTTTACGAATATCGGATGGATCCACTTCGTAGAAAACAGGCACCACTATCTGCTTTTGTGTGTCCATGCATTCCAGTATCTGGACGAGTTCTTTCAAGCAACACGTCGAAGAAGCGTAGTTTTCGGAAAAAACTACAATCGATAGCCTCGAGTCGGTAATAGCTGTAAGGAGCTCCGAAAGGTCGTTGCCTTTTCGAAGCTCTTCGCCATCAATGAAGGTGTTGATTGCTTTCTGATTCAGAGCTCTGTAGAGATGGCCGATGAAGATCTTGCGAGTGTCTTCCCCTCTAAAATTCAGGAATACATCATATATTTCCAACTACTGTAGGATGAAGACGAAGAACAAGAAGAAGCAGCCATTAACATCCGACGAAAGTGAAATACCTGGTCTTCAGAAATTGTTTGAATTGGAGGGATGCTGAGATTGCAGGTCAACGCCCACCCTCCCTCCATTGTCACTTCGCTGTTCGGTCAAAGCGATTCAGATTGGACTTGGTTGAATGGGCTAAAGTGCGCACTGGTTTCATTTGGAAACATGTAAGGCCCAAAGCCAATGGGCACTTACCATCGAATGGTAACTCTCCTCTTTCTTAGAGCTCATAATTTTAGACGCGAGATGATAAGTTAACATAAATCTTTCTGATGTAAAACAAATAGCTGAATGGATTGAGGAGGAGATGAACTGTCAGACAAAAGGACGCTCGGGAATTTGTCTATTTGGCGTCCAAGCTCCGAATTCGACCTTTGATATCTTTTAGGAAAGATGAAACACCCCAACCCTCTTTTATATTTTAAAATTGTTTTAAAGCCTTAATTGGTGAGCCCGTGGGGCCCACCTTGTTTATTTTTTTATGTTTTCTGATCTCTCTCTTCTTCTTCTTCGTTTCTCCCTCCCGTAGCTCTCTCCTTCTCAGCTCTCCCGTCTCTCTCTCCCTCAACCTCTCGCATCTCTCTCTTCCCCTGGACTCACTAGGACCGAGTCACCATCGAAGAGAGGCTCGCAACGAACCCCGGACCCTGCCCTGCGAGTTCGACGGCACGGAGTAAGCTCCGGCGAGCACCGCCCCTTTCGAGGTCATTTCCGGCCAAACCACAGCGAGTTGGCCGGCGTGTAAGGTATCAATCTCTTCGTCTCGTCGAGTACTACAACTTTCCTTTTTGTTTCACTTAATTTCGTTGAGTATTGAAGAAGTTATACTCATTTGAATCTTACCCAGTTTCTGGCGAGTCCGACGGATTTCGAGGCATGTTCCGGCCAAACCACGGCGAGTTAGACGTTGTGTGAGGTACCATTCTCTTCGTCTCTTCAAGGGCTACAACTTTCATTTTTGTCTTGCTTGATTTCGTTGAGTATTGACAAAGTTATGGCCATTTAAAGTTGGGTGGTTTTCCGGCCGAAATTCCGGCCTTCTCCTTCGACAAACCCAGGCCATCCGGCCTTTCCCTCTCCCTCGGGCCTTAGGCCCGTGTTGCCTTAGCCCAGTACCCTAACCCATTCAGTTTTTATTTTTAGTTATATGTTTTTAAAACCCAAAGGGCTCGGGCCCTAGTTTTGGTTGGCCTTGGGCCGGTTTTCAACCAAGGGCTTAAAGCCCTGATTTCTGTTAGGAGGCCTTAGGGCCTTGTGTAGTGTGTGTGTGTGTGTTTATAGTATATGTATGTGTTTGGGCTTAAACCCAAACCCCTTTCCTAACCCTAAACCATTTTAACCCAAAACCTTAGAAATCCAAACCACCCATTTTCACCCTAAACCCTTTTAACCTTAGAACCCTAAAATCAAAACCCAATAAATCCTAATCCTATTTAACCTAAACCCTAATCCGGATTTCAAGCCTAAAACCCGTTAGACCTAATTTGACCGTTGACCTCCGGTCAACATTGACTTTAGAGTTGACTTTTCGGGTTTTTGTCCGGGACCCTTCTTAGGGTAATTCGACGTTCTGAATCCGTTTCCAACGTCCGTTTTCCCAAATCCAATTGCTATTATATAGTTTTTATTAATTGGACCCTTTATGTGCTTAGGGGCAATATTGGTGACGTTAGTTTGCGTTTGCGTGGCTCTTCGGCGGCTAAGTACTGTGAGTGGACCCCTTCAAAAGCATGTTTTAATAGTAGAAATGCATACATGAAATGCATGATTTAATGATTACGTTTTATGAAACGTTTTGAGATAACATGCTTACTGAGGCTACCTTGAATTATTACTATTTTTCCTATAACCCGTGTTCTTATAGAATATCTGATGGATGACGATATGATATTTAGAACATGTTTCGAACACCTCTTTATAGTATAGATGATGGATGACTTTATACTATGAAGTTGTTTTTCAATATATGTATGTTCAATGGTTTTTGTACTTACCTAGTGGTCCTTTCCGCTACGGGACGTAGGGATAGATTCCGGTCCGTCCCGGGCGACGGTTTGGTGTTGGCATAGGGCCTGGAGTGTGTTTCCTCTGGCTATTTAGCACAGGGACGGGGAGCCGGCATGGGGCCTGAAGTGTATTTTCCTCTGACTGTCTGCTCAGAGACGGGGAGCCGGCATGGGGTCTGCAGGTTATCGGACAATTCACTAGTGATTATTATATATGAGTTATGATTTGAGATACTGCACATCATGCTAGGTTTCGGAAAACCTATGTTCATCATTATATATTTGTTTTCATAAACCTGGGGGTTAGTATATTGATAACTGTTTTATTATATATATATATCAACTTGGTCCACTCATGTTTGTTTTGCGCCCCCTTCAGGATTTAGGATCGAGGCGTACAATCCCGACAATCAAGGCACTTCCGCATCGGCATCTTCGAGTCCTCTTGGTGTGGGACTCATTCTTTTATTTATTCCATTTTATATCATTCTTTTAGTGTTCTAGTTAGTTGTATGCTCTGAACACGTTCCTTAAATGCATATTCCTTATTCTTTTACATTTATAAGTTTTATCTATCCTTTATTTTCAGCAATTGCACTCAATAAATGGCTTTCGTCACCCTCGGGTGTCGGCCAGCACGTGACCATCCTGATATCCCGAGGATATCGGGATCGGGGCGTGTCAAAAGAGAACGATGTCACGAGTCAAATTCACGGAATTTGGCAATTCGGAATCGTTTCAGCCTTCAAAATGCAATTTTAAGTTTATAATAAAAATTCAGACATTTCGTTTGTCGTTCAAATTTATGTCATTAGTCCTCTGAGTTGTCCCAACAGATGTACTATATTTATTTAAGCCATTTGGCTGTTCATTTGTAAGCATCAAGTTAATCAATTAAACAAAACAACCTTTGGGTTTTCAACCAAAATCTGGTGGACTCCAAAAATTGTATTCTTCGAGGGCTTACGTTTGTATCTCTCTTGCTTCGTCCTGCGTCACTTCCATAGGTTATTCCAACTCTACAAAGCTTCTTGCCTGATCTCTTATATTCTAAAATCAATTGAGAATTGAGAAATTATGAATAGTTCTACATTTCAACGCACTTTCTTGTTTTGATTTTGTTCTGAGGTCGAGGGAGGAGGCTAACTATTGAGGTGTGCACCGTGATCATACAGGGTTGAAACCACAGCTGTTGAGGCGTCTTGCAGAGGCTTACGCGTGTTGCCATGAAAGGCAAACTTTATTGTAGGTGGACTCCAACTGAGTCCCAAGAAATGCTAGAGTTGCAGAGGTTCTTGGACTCGTTAAGCATAATGCTAGAGTAACAGTTCTGCGAAGTGTCAAAAGCAGGAACAAGTTGGCAATCTGCCACAACTTCCCTTTCCATTTGCCAGCTGTTTGCCAAGATCATGCCTATTCCCACCTGTCCCTTCTGCACTCCCGAACTAATCCCACGGTAACAAATCACAATCTCCCTGGCAACAACACAGCAATTCAAAGTTGCTTCCAAAACAAGGAAATGGGATCAGGGCTTGGTGAATTGCTACCAGTATACACGTACAGGTATATTTTGCTTATTTGTTGACGGCATCATTCTTCCTCTGTAGAGTGAAACCTGCCACTGACTGAAAATTCGAAATACTACTTTTTTCAATCGAGTAGACATAAAGAAAAACAAAAAATGCAATATAAAGAAACAGAACACACCTGAAATATTGATTGGCAACTCTTACCTGTGATTTTGCCAAGAACACGAAGTTCCGCTTCAGAGCTTTCATGATGATGTTTGGGGCTGCAACATGCTTTGGTTTTGCACCTCACGATTGGCCTATATAGAAATGAAACTCCGCATTCTTAAGCGATGCAGCTGTGTTTGGCAAAATCATACCTACTCGTCCTCCTCTTCCTCCTCCATCTTTCACCGCCAGTCCCTTCTGCACGTTAGGCTTATTCAACTGTCACAGATCACAATATTCCCAGAAACAAAGCGTGGATCCAAAGTTTCCTCCGAGTTCAAGGAGCTGGGATCAGTGCCTGTTGACTTGCTACCGATAAACACAATAGTCTATAGAGAACACATTGCCTCCATCAGCCAAAGCTTATGAACCACTGACAGATATCAGAGCTGAAGCATCCACCAACCCGGCAAATTTTAAAAAATTTGAAAAATAGATTGATACAGGAATTAGAAGTTGTCCTTCTGTTTTAAAACATAAGTGTTGGATAACATGATATTTAAATAAAATGTATTGAAATCTCTCTACATTGTACCTTCTATCAAAAGCATCGCTGCATTTCTCTATATCCACCAGTTGAGGATCTTTGAAGTTTATACTTGATGAAAGCTCTGGCATAGAAGTGGCGCGCACCAAGAAAAGTATTTTCATTTCACAACGAAAATATTTATTAGATATCCTTGATGATGTTGGATTTTTAGGATCTCGGCCGGCAAAATTTCCAATAGAGCAAAATCTCAAATGACCTCTTGACGAGGGAGAGGTTCTTAAGGATCCTGCAAAATATCGAAGAGTGATTGGTCGTCTCATTTATCTTACCATTTATTGAATTTTTGATGTATATTTCATATATAAAACAGTTACAAGATCAAACATATATAGAAGAAGAAACGGGAAAGAAAGAATGGAGGACAAAAGGTAGAGGACAATGGCAGCTAAGCAAGCATAATGATGACCTCCACTCTCTCTAACTTAAGCCACTAACAAGCTTTACAATGATGAGGGAATATTATCACTTAAGTAGGCCTAAAGTAAACATTAAACATCATGACTAAAACAAACAGCTAACACTAGCACCAAGACTAGCCGAAAGCTGCCTAAGCTGAGCTGTTATCCATCAAAACTAGACAAAAGCTTGCATTATTCTTCCAACACTCCCCTCAAGCTGGATCTAGGGGATTCCTTGAGCCAAGCTTGGACAGAATGCACAGATACGAAATCGTAGGAAGAGATTTGGTAAAAATGTCAGCCAACTGATCATGACTGCGAGTATAGTAGGTGGTTATGATTTTGGATTGAACTTGTGCTCGAACATAATGACAATCCACTTCAATATGCTTCGTTCTCTTGTGGAAGACTGGATTGGAAGCAATGTGCATGGCAGCTTGATTGTCACAAAACATAGACATATGTTCATTGCTGGGAAAGCCTAGATCCAACAGAAGGCTTTTCAGCCAAATAAGTTCACACGCAGTGGAGGTCATAGCTCGACTCGGCCTCTGCATTGGATCGAGCTACGACAGTTTGCTTCTTGCTGCGCCATGTTACCAAATTGCCACCTACAAAGGTGCAAAAACCTGTTGTTGACTTGCGATCAAGAGAATTCCCAGCCCAATCAGCATCTGTATATCCCATGATGGCAGTGCTATCATTTTTTGTCATAAGGAGTCCTCGACCAATAGACCCTTTTAGATAACGAAGAATTCTCTTCACAATCTGCATATGAGTTAATGTAGGAGCATGCATAAATTGACTCACAATACTCACGGCATAAGAGATATCAGGACGCGTGATTGTGAGGTAAATAAGCTTTCCTACAAGTCTTTGATACTTAGTAATATCAGAGAGAGCTTCACTGTGAGTACTAAGTTGTAGCTTGCTATCCAAAGGAGTACGTGCATGTTTACTATCTATTAAGCCAGAATCCTTCAAAAGATCAAGAATGTATTTCCTTTGATTGAGAAAAAGGCCTTCCTGTGAATTTGCAAGCTCAATACCTAGGAAATATTTGAGACGTCCCAAATCTTTGATTGCAAATTTGTTTTGAAGAGCGAGCTTGAGAGAGTGAATTTCTTCAGCATTGTCACCTGTCACTATAAGATCATCAACATAGATTAAAACAATTACTTTTCCAACTAAGCCATCACGAACAAATAGTTAGGAATCAACACTACTTCTTTGAAAGCCAAACTCTTCAAGAATGGAGCTCAGTTTTGCATACCATGCACGTGGAGACTGTTTCAATCCATAAATGGATTTGTGCAATTTACAAACCATGTCGGGGTCATCTGATTGAGGATGTCGGGGTCATCTGATTGAAGCCTAAGTTCTTGAAGGAGACAAAAGGTCCAGAGATAAAGGGTACACAAAAATATCTGAACAACAATAGCTACAAGGCCAACCATGCAGCTACTTTGTCGACAGAAGGAATGGTGAAATTCACTACCAATCCTGCTGCATGAATCAATGATTTTGCAGCATATCTCCACAGCAAACAGGTGCTTAACAATAGAGATGAAGCTCCCGTAGCTAAAGAGAAGAATCACACAGCTTTACTTGGAAAATTTGTTGGTTTTCTGGCTAAACATGACCATGTTTCACAGAAAGATATCCCAGGTATTTTCAGTGCCTTCTCTACTGCCCTAAATGCTAGTAATGAACATGATTATTGGATCATTGACTCAGGAGCCACGGATCACATGACAAATAAAATTAATAACGTACATGATTTTACAAAAATGAAATTTTTTTCTCAAGTGTCAGTAGCTAATGGGAAGGGTGCCACAGTTGTCGGAAAAGGAAAAATCAACTTATTGTCAACACACATAGAGTCAGCAGCCCTTTACATACCTTCTTTTCCTTTTCAACTTCTATCAGTGGGAGCTATCACTAATTCTCTAAACTGTCTAGTCATTTTCTCCCCTCACAATGTCATTTTTTAGGATATCATCACCAAGAGAACGATTGGTGAAGGTTTATTGTTGAATGGGCTTTACTACTTGGCTAAAGACACTAAGAATCCCAAGTTTTTTCAAGTCAGTTCAAGTGTTTTTCAAGACCAATAACTTTGGCATCAACGTTTGGCACATCCTTCTGATAAAGTAATGTCTTTTTTGTTTCCAAAAATATGTAAGGACAAGTTAAAGTGTGATGTTTGTCACTTGTCTAAGTTTTCTAGGTTGCCTTTTGATTCTTCCACTTTTAGAGCTAGTCATCCTTTCGAAATCATTCATTCAGACATTTGGGGTCCAATACTAGAGTCCTTTGATGGATATAAATACTTTGTAACCTTTGTTGATGATTTTACAAGGATGACTTGGTTGTATCTTTTGAAATTTAAGAGTGAACTTTCAAATGTTTTTCAAGATTTTCACAAACTAGTTGGTACTCAATTTGCATAAAAAATTCATATATTAAGATCCGACAATGGCACTGAATATATATCCCATAACATGTCTCAATATCTTAGTATTCATGGCATACTGCACCAAACAACATGTGTTGGCACACCCCAACAAAATGGGATTGCTGAGAGAAAGAATAGAGACCTTCATGAGAAGACAAGATCAATCATGTTTCATATGAATGTGCCAAAGAAATTTTGGTCACAAGGAATACTTACAGCTGCCTACCTAATCAATAGATTGCCTATTAAAGTACTCAGTTTCAAGTCTCCATATGAAGTGTTGAAGGACAAACAGAATGATCTCTCACACTTGAGAGTTTTTGGGTCCACTTGCTTTGTTCACAACCAATATCTCAACCGTGATAAACGGGATCCTCGAGCAACGAAATGTGTTTTCTTTGGTTACTCATCTACCCAAAAGGGCTACAAGTGTTACAACCCAATCACAAAGAAAATAATGGTTTCAAGGGATGTGAGATTTGATGGAAACATACCCTACTTCTCCAAGAAACTAAGTGATGCAGATCAGGGGGAGTTTTTGAGTGACATGTTTCCATTACCTAGTGCTCCTCTCTATCAAGAAAGTCCCATTTCACGTAACTCACCAACTCTATTGCATGAGCTACCTTCATCTCAAACCACAGATATTGAACCTCACGTTCCAATTCGTCGAAACCCTTCTAGGGTTCGACCTCCACTTCGACTACATGATTATGTCACCTACACTTCTAGGTATCCTCTTACAAACTTTGTTTCCTATAAGCAGTTTTCCCCATCTCATACTTCTTTTCTTAGTACCTTGGACAATATTCATGAACCACAAACATTTCAAGAAGTAAATGAACTTGAAATTTGGCAAAAAGCGATGAGGGATGAACTGCAAGCTCTTCATGACAACCGAACCTGGAGTGTAGTTAAACTTCCCGAAGGGAAGAAATCAGTTGGCGGCTGTTGGATGTACAAGACTAAGTTCAACTCAGATGGGATGATTGAAAGGCACAAAGCTCGTTTGGTGGCTCGTGGATTTACTCAGACTTATGGCTTGGATTACAAGGAAACATGTGCTCCCGTTGCCAAAATGAACACTGTAAGGGTTCTATTATCAGTTTCCGTAAATAAGTCTTGTCATCTTTATCAAATGGATGTGAAGAATGCTTTTTTGCAAGGGGAATTAGAGGAGGAAGTGTACATGAAACTACCACCCAGACATCCTCAATCAGATGACCTCGACATGGTTTGTAAACTGCACAAATCCATTTATGGATTGAAACAGTCTCCACGTGCATGGTATTGTTTAGCCAGAAAACCAGCAAATTTTCCAAGTAAAGCTGTGTGATTCTTCTCTTCAGCTACGAAAGCTTCATCTCTATTGTTAAGCACCTGTTTGCTGTGGAGATATGCTGCAAAATCATTGATTAATGCAGCAGGATTGGTAGTGAAATTCACCATTCCTTCTGTCGACAAGGTAGCTACATGGTTGGCCTTGTAACTATTGTTGTTCAAATATTTTTGTGTACCCTTTATCTCTGGACCTTTTGTCTCATTCAAGAACTCAGGCTTCAATTCCGGATGAAGTATCCAACATCTGTCTTTTATATGGCCAAGAGAATCACAGTAGCTGCACTTTAAATCTGGTCTTGTTCCCTTGTAAACTTTGCTTTCAGGACGTTTGTTGCTAGAGACATAAGCCCTAGTCTCAGAAACGCTGTCTTTAGTCTCTTCATTCATGACTTTCCTCCTTACTTCTTCCATTTGGATTATGGCACACACACCAATGAAGGAAGGGAGTTCAGCATTCATTAAGATGTGACTTCTGAGGTCTTCGAACTCTGGACCTAAGCTTGCCAAAAGTTGAAATATCTTGTCTTCTTCTGCTCTCTTGATCAACACAGTGGCATTAGTTGTATGAGAATGATAAACATCGAGCTCATTCCACATGTTTGTAAGACTGCCAAGGTGTTGAACAAATGCTTTACTTCCTTGTTGTAGACTTGCCAGATTCTTCTTAAGCTGGAAGACACGAGCATCATTATTTTGATTTCCATACATCTCTTTTACTTGCTTCCAAAGATGCATGGATGACTCAGAATAACTGAAAATTCCAGCAATCCTTCGCTCCATTGAATTGAGCAACAAGACATGACCAACTGATCTTTGCACAGCCACGACTCGTATGTAGAAAAAGTGACTACTAGAGCTTCAATAGCACCATTTACATAGCCAAGCTTTGATCTTCCTTCAAGTGCAAGAGATACTGCACAACTCCAGGGAAGGTAGTTGAATTCATTCAACAAAACAGAATTGAGACGTTGATTAGGATTGACCTCAACGTTAGAAAATGCTAGAGCATCCATCGAGCTTTCAGTTTCAGAGAGTTCTTCAGCCATCTTGGCTTAGAGCAAAAGAAACTTAGCAGAAACGATTACTAGAGTCAGGAATTTAGAGTTCCTGCTCTGATACCATATTGAATTTTTTATGTATATTTCATATATAAAACAGTTACAAGATCAAACATATATAGAAGAAGAAACGGGAAAGAAAGAATGGAGGACAAAAGGTAGAGGACAATGGCAGCTAAGCAAGCATAATGATGACCTCCACTCTCTCTAACTTAAGCCACTAACAAGCTTTACAATGATGAGGGAATATTATCACTTAAGTAGGCCTAAAGTAAACATTAAACATCATGACTAAAACAAACAACTAACACTAGCACTAAGACTAGCAGAAAGCTGCCTAAGCTGAGCTGTTATCCATCAAAACTAGACAAAAGTTTGCATTATTCTTCCAACACCATTACATGGCTGGATAGTACATACGCGGTTCACTTATTGAGTAGGTTTATGCAAACTCCTCGGATGCCACATTATGATGCTGCTTTGCGTATTTTGAAATACCTCAAGGGCACCCCCGGCCAAGGCATAATGTTTCCTTCTCAAAATTATTTAAAGTTGAAGGTGTATTGTGATTTAGATTGGGCATGTTGTCCTACTACCCGACGATCCACCACAAGTTATTGTGTGTTTATTGGAAACTATCTCATCACATGAAAGAGCAAACGCCAAAAAATTGTATCTTTTGTTAAAAGTACAACACCAGCCCAATAACTAAGGTCCAGCCCATTTGGAATCATAAATGCAAAGATGCTAGAAAACTCTAGCAAAATGCAACAATTGGTATTTGGATGGAAAAGCCTAAGTCCACCGCCCTTAGACTAAGAAAATCTAGAAAAATGGTTTGTAGAAAAGCCTAGAACCATCACAAAACATGTGGTTAAAATGGAAGAATCCAATTTCACCGACTAGGTAAGTCGGTTAGCAAGCCTATAAATATAAGATAGGTGTATTTGAACCAATCAATCCAGTAAGAATCAAGCAAGCAACCAACCAAGTGAGAGTGAGAAGTAAAAGTAGTCTTGTAGGAGTGTGAGTGGTCTAGAGTTTGTCTCTAAAAAGAGTGAGTGTCATAGCTTCTAAAAGAGTGTCCTTGAGTAGGGGTGTGATATCCACACACTTTATTTTACTTCTCACACACTTTTTTAATTTTCGGCCGTCAGATCGGATGATTTGAAGAAGATCAACGGACATAAATTATCAAGGGGTGTGTGAGAAGTAAAATAGGGTGTGTGGATATCAAGTAATTTATTTACTTGTGTTGTCTTTCCAACACTTGTGTTAGAGTTGTGTACTCTAAGTTTTTTTCTCAACATTTTTGTCGTCAGCCGAAGCAGAGTACCAACCTATGGCAGCAATGTGTTGTGAACTAGCATGGCTGCAAAACTTGTTTCCTGATTTGAGGATTAAAAATCAAGGCCCAGCCACCCTATTTTGTGATCACCAAGCAGCCCTCCATATTGCCGCCAATTCCGTGT